CTGAGTCCCCTCAGGTAGCTGCGTCTGCGTCTGCGTCTGCGTCTGGTCAGCTGGCGGCCCCCTGCGAGTGTCGCGCTTTGTCACACGACACTCTCCTGTGGCACCACCGCCTTGGTCACCCCTCCTTGCCTCGCCTGCGTAGCATGCACTCTCGCTCCCTGGTCTCTGGTCTCCCCAGGTCTCTGCCTGCCCTCCCTCCCTCGCCTGCGCCGCCCTGCATTCCTTGCGTCGAGGGGCGGCAACGCGCTGCTCCTCACTCCTCCTCGTTTCCTCCCACAGAGGCTCCACTGCAGACGCTCCACCTGGACGTGTGGGGCCCAGCCCGCGTCCAGGGACAGGGCCACGAGCGGTACTTCCTGCTGGTTGTCGACGACTACACGCGTTACACCACGGTCTTCCCCTTGCGGACCAAGGCGGATGTCCCTGCTGTTTTGATCCCCTGGATCCGCGCTGTTCGTCTCCAGCTCCGCGAGCGGTTCCGGTCGGACTTTCCTGTCCTGCGTCTGCACTCTGACAGAGGTGGTGAGTTCTCCTCCGACCTCTTGGCAGCCTACTGTGCGGAGCACGGCATCACCCAGTCGTTCACGCTTCCGGCCTCTCCGCAGCAGAATGGGGTTGCTGAGCGCCGCATTGGCTTAGTCATGGAGGTCGCTCGTACCTCCATGATCCATGCGGCTGCCCCCCATTTTCTGTGGCCGTTTGCGGTCCGGTACGCCGCGCATCAGCTCAACCTTTGGCCCCGTGTCTCCCTGCCGGAGACCTCGCCCACACTGCTGTGGACGGGGAAGGTTGGCGATGCGTCGCGTTTCCGGGTCTGGGGTGCTCGTGCCTTTGTCCGCGATACCACCGCGGACAAGCTCTCCGCCCGCGCTGTTCCCTGTGTCTTCCTTGGCTTTGTCCCTGACGCGCCTGGTTGGCAGTTTTACCACCCCGCCTCGCGCCGTGTCTTTGCGTCTCAGGACGTCACGTTCGACGAGTCGGTTCCCTTTTACCGTCTCTTCCCCTACCGCACTGCCTCGCTCCCCCCCCCGCCGCTCTTCCTCGCTCCAGGTGCTCCCCAGGTAGACCCCCTCCCCGCTCCCGGTCCTGCTCCTTCAGGTGTTTCTCAGGTAGACCCTCCTCCCTTGACTGCGCCGGTTGAGGTCACTGGTGACTCAGGGTCTACTGAGAGTGGTCCTGCTTGGGGTGCTACTTCTGGGGGTGCTGAGCCTGGGGGTGCGGAGCCTGAGGGTGCTGAGCCTGGGGGTACTGAGCCTGAGGGTGCGGAGCTTGAGGGTGTGGAGCCTGGTGGTGCTGAGCCTGAGTGTGAGGGGTCTGGGGGTGCTGAGCTTGGCGGTACTGACGCTGGAGGTTCTGGAGCTACTGAGGGTGGTGGCGCTGGAGGTTCGGGAGCTGCTGGAGGGCCTAGTACTGGTGGCGCTGGAGCTGGAGGTTCTGGAGCTGCTGAGGGTGCTCGCGCTGGAGGTTCTGGAGCCGCTGGAGGTACTGGTGCTGAGGGTTCTGAGTCTGCTGTTGCGCGGTCTCCTTGGAGTGGCCGCCTTCGTCCACGTGTGCCTCTCACCCCACAGCAGCTGCAGGACTGGTACGGTCGCCGTCAGCGTCGCGCTGCTGGAGCTAGGAGTGGTGCTGGTCCTTTGTCTACTGGAGGTGCTGGAGTCGCTGGTTCTGGAGGTGCTCGTGCTGGAGACACTGAGGCTGGAGACCCTGGGACTGGAGGTGCTAGTTCTGGGGGTGCTGCTGCTGGAGACACTGAGGCTGGAGACCCTGGGACTGGAGCTTCTGGAGCTGCTGGAGGTACGGGAGCTGCTGGAGGTACTGGAGCTGCTGGAGGTACTGGAGCTGCTGGAGCTGCCGGTACTGGTGCAGCTGCGCCGACACGGCTGTTCTTCGCTCCGCCGTCTCCGTCGTCTCTGCCGCCGCCTGACTCTGCTCTTCGTCAGGTTGTTACTCTCCCGTCGTCTACTGGTCTTCCGTTACAGCCTGGCTCACCGCTGCCTGCTCCTTCTCCTTACACTGAGCAGACTGGTAGTCCTGCTGAGCGTCGTGAGCCTGCGTCGCGTCCTGTCTCGCCTGCTCGTCCTGGTCGTACCGGTCGTCGTGTTCCTCGTTCGCGTCAGCCGGCTGTCCCCAGCGCACGCCTCGTAGTCCGTCGTCCTTCCTCTGCTCTGCAGCCTGTTCCTCTGCCGTCTCCCCCTGCGTCCTCTCTGCCTGCCGTTCCGGACCCTGAGTCTGACAGGTTTCGTACTGAGCACCCTACTGTCACGCGTCTCCTAGCCACTGTTGTCACTGACCCGTCGTTTGAGTCTACTGCTGCGTCTGCCTTGGTCGCTGAGCTTGTTGACTTTGCTGCTGCCTGTCGTCTAGACTACGCCGCTAGTCTTGTTGCTGAGTCTGAGTCTGTCTGTCCTCCGTCCGTCGGGGGTGAGTGTGCTCTTAGCACGGACGTCCTTGAGGACAGGCAGGAGGAGTTCCAGTGTCTTGCTGCTGCTTTACCTCATCTTGTGTCCTCACTACTTGCCCCTGAGGGAGACCCGGATGCACCAGACATCCCGACTCCGCGCTCTTACGCAGAGGCGATAGAGGGTCCCTACTCCTCTCAGTGGCAGGCAGCCATGGACGCAGAGATGGCTTCCTGGAAGTCCACAGGCACCTACGTTGACGAGGTTCCCCCACCTGGGGCGAACATCGTCAGTGGCATGTGGATTTTCAGGGTGAAGCGGCCGCCGGGTTCTCCGCCTGTCTTCAAGGCGCGTTACGTGGCTCGAGGCTTCAGTCAGCAAGAGGGAGTTGACTTCTTCCAGACCTTCTCCCCCACCCCGAAGATGACCACTCTTCGGGTGCTGCTGCACGTTGCTGCTCACCGTGACTACGAGCTTCACTCTCTTGACTTCAGCACAGCTTTCTTGCAGGGTAGCCTGCACGAGGAGATCTGGCTGCGCCGCCCTCCTGGCTTCACTGGGTCGTTCCCTCCTGGTACCCAGTGGAGCCTCCGGCGGCCGGTCTACGGTCTCCGCCAGGCGCCACGTGAGTGGCACGACACACTGAGGACTACGCTTGCGGCTCTTGGGTTTGCGCCTTCTACTGCTGACCCGTCGCTGTTTCTGCGCACCGACACTTCCCTGCCGCCGTTCTACATCCTCGTGTACGTCGACGACTTGGTTTTTGCCACTGCTGACACTGAGGCTCTCGCCCACGTGAAGTCGGAGCTGCAGAAGAGACACACGTGCACAGACTTGGGTGAGCTGCGCAGCTACCTTGGCTTGCAGATCACCCGAGACAGAGCACGTCGCACCATCACCTTGACTCAGTCACACATGGTGCAGCAGGTCCTTCAGCACTTCGGCTTCACCTGGTCTTCAGCACAGGCCACTCCTCTGGCTACAGGTCACACGCTCTCAGCTCCACCTTCGGACGAGTCCGTAGAGCCGAGTGGTCCTTACCCAGAGCTAGTCGGCTGCCTCATGTACCTGATGACTTGCACTCGACCTGACCTCGCGTACCCTCTTGGTCTCCTGGCTCGCTACGTGGCTCCTGGTCGGCACCGACCTTAGCAGATGGCTGCTGCTAAGAGGGTACTGCGTTACTTGTGCAGCACATCAGGCATGGGGCTAGTGCTTGGAGGGACGAGCCCAGTTGTCCTCACTGGGCACTCAGACGCTTCTTGGGTTGACGACCTGGCTACTCAGCGGTCGTCACAGGGTTACACCTTCAGCCTTGGCTCTGGTTCAGTTTCGTGGCGTTCTACACGCTCGTCTTCAGTTCTCGGCTCCAGTTGTGAGGCTGAGATCTACGCCACCGCCATGGCTGCACAGGAGTTACGCTGGCTCACCTACCTGCTGACTGACTTGGGAGAGCAGCCTCGTTCTCCTCCAGTGCTGTACGTTGACAACAAGGCCGCCATTGCCTTGTGTGAGGAGCACAGACTGGAGCACAGAACGAAGCACATTGCTCTACGGTACTTCCTGGCTCGAGAGTTGCAGCAGCGAGGCCAGCTTCGTCTTCGCCACGTGGCCACTCGGGCCAACACTGCTGATATATTCACCAAGGCACTTCCGTCTGGTGATCATCAGCGCTTTTGTACTCTGTTAGGCCTTGTGCCTACGTTTCCACACTTGCTGTAGTCTCTGCTTGTACTGTGATCTGTACATATATATATATATATATATATATATATATATATATGCATGCTGGCTCTTGCTAGGTAGCCATCACTGTACTGTTATTGCTGCATATATATCTCTGCATGTGAACTGGCCCTGTGGCCCTTTGCTTGTGCTCGGAATGCGTGGTGACGTTGTGATCCACCCTGAGCTTGTTTTGCTTCTCTTGACTGGTCGTGTGACCTCTTGTTCTCCCCCACTTTGCCTATGGGGGTTTGTCAAACTATATGTGCTGCATATTGTCTAGGCTGTAGTGGGGTAGCCCATATGGGGTACAACCCAATTAGGGTTTACTACTTGTACTCCTGCATCCTGTTAGTTCAGTCATTCCTGCTGCTAGATTCTAACAATAAGTTGTCCTCCTAATCCTCCTTATCAGCATATTACGTTAACATTACGCCAACACCTTGTGAAATTCGCAGGTAAAACATGCTGCTAACATTCAGTAGCAATTGTACAAGGGCCAGCAGAACTCCAGGAAAACATACATGGTATTTACAATGACAAGACTTCGTGCCTAACACACCAGCATTAAGCCACTCTTTTCCACAGCAACAACCTAGTTTCCAAGGTTACGAGCAGCCATCGACTGAACCTGCGCAGCAGGGGAGCCCTTCGCCACTCCCCACTGGTCTTTGCGGTGAAGCCCTGGAGAGCAGCAGCATCACTCCCTGTCACCTTGGACGGGGCAGCAGCAGCTCGCTGCGCTGCTGCAGCACCGGAACCCTTAGCGACTCCGCCACCTCCCATCCTAGCGGCAGTGCTCTGGATATGAGCAGCAGTGGCTCCAGAGATACCTCCACCGTGGCCTTTTCCCCCGCCGTGGCTCCCCCCGCCGCCATGGCTCCCCCCTCCGCCGTGGCTCCCCCCGCCGCCGTGGCTCCCCCCGCCGCCGCCGTGGCTTCCCCCGCCGCCGTGGCTCCCCCCTCCGCCGTGGCTCCCCCCTCCGCCGTGGCTCCCCCCGCCGCCGTGGCTCCCCCCGCCGCCGTGGCTCCCCCCGCCGCCGTGGCTCCCCCCTCCGCCGTGGCTCCCCCCGCCGCCGTGGCTCCCCCCTCCGCCGTGGCTCCCCCCTCCGCCGTGGCTGCCCCCGCCGCCGTGGCTCCCGCCGCCGCCGTGGCTCCCCCCGCCGCCGTGGCCTCCGCCTCCGCTGTGGCCTCCGCCTCCCCCATGACTTCCGCCTCCGCCGTGACCTCCGCCTCCGCCGTGTCCCTGAGTCTGCGATGTCCGCTGGTAAGACAAGCTGCGATTGAGAAGCGACAATGGTTGCTAGTCAGAGAGCGGTAGGGTTTCCGTGGCTCCTTCGTCGAACAAATGTTCCAAGCAACGGCCTTTTCATAGGAGTGGTAGGCCCCGCGACCACAATGGAACAGCGCCCGAATCGCGAATTGCCCGCCATTCAGGCATCTATTCTGCCATCTGAAACGCGACTCATGGTCGAGGCGCACATAGAGCGATGACGACTCGACTCCCCGCGACGCGCACGTGGTACATGCACTTGCATGCCTGACTGGTGCCACGGTCCCATAGTACCATGCGGTTCGGCTGAAAGAACTTGCTTTTGCATGCTGATGACACGCAAAACAACATGCTTCAAACACGCGGCGCAGGGGACTACCAGCAACTCGGAAATGGATTATCTTGTCTAAGCCGCCGCTGGCTTGTCGCCGTGACACACATCGACGGTAATGCTATCGCCATGGCTCAGAATGTGCATCGTGGTTTACTTGCACGTGATACTGCTCGAGAATCGGCTGTTGCATGGCACGGTGTAGTGACGAAGTCATGGAAAGCACTTGGTGATACGAGAAGAGAGAGGGAGAAAGCATGAAGGTAAATCGAACTCAGGAGGCCTTCATGTTCTCATACTAGAGTCGCTTGCAGGAGAAATGACGGGAGAGTGCATGGTGAAAGAGAAACGCACAGGAGCAGTGTGGGTGGGACGAAGATGCAGGGCGTGAATAGCCCGTGTGGGGTTGGATTGGGGGGGGAGAATGAACAGATGGGAGGGAAGGAAACTGTGATTCAACTGACGGTGAGGATGGTAAGTTGCGGTGGCATGTCAGATTCGGCGGAGCGGTAAAGCTTGTCTGATTGGCTGCGGAACTCCGATACGAGGCCAATGTACAGTACGGTAACTCCCCCGTATCCTGCCTTTAGTGCCACGCAATACAGCATATGTAGTGGCTTCGATGCCTGTTTCCTAACAGGTCGGATAATAATTATATTTCTGCTGAACCCGTCATTCTGTTTCGCAACACCTCCATACGCTCATCCATCTACCCTCGGAGATATCAAGAACCAGCGATATTGCCGAGCGATCAGTGATCACCAAACACCCACCCAACCCACTTGGCTGCATACAACCATCATCCGTAGTGCCATTGCACTATCAGTCCCAGGTTCCCATTGCACTATCAGTCCCATTGCACTTGGCTACGTAGACTGAAGCAGCCATTTCTCTTATGATGTCATAGTTACCACTAATAACGAAATGGGTCAGTTTGCATGGAAAACGGAGATTCGCGCGTCATGAGGAGTAAGAGCCATTAGCTTCTTTACAAATTAGACTAGTGCTTATAGCGCGTAGACAATTACAAGCAAGTTAGTCCATATGCCGAAAAAGAACCCCAAGTCGAAACGTGCGGCCGCGAAATCCGTCGCGCAGCGCGCGGAAGATGACGAGCCGCCGCCGCTATCCATCGCGACGGTTGCTCGCGCCGCGTCCGAAGCCGTGGCGGCAGACCTAATGTCCGCCGCGGAATCGATGTCCGCCGATCGACTACGCGCCGATGGCGTCATTTCCGCCCTCCCCGCAATCTCCGTCTCCGGCGGCGCCGCCGCAGTTTCCGCCGCAAATGACGGCGCCGGCGTCGCCATTGCCGTCGGCGGCCGGTCCAGAAGCCTGTCCGTCTCCCCTGCCGGCAGTCCGTCGGCCGTCGCTGCCGCCGCAACAGCCGCCGCGGGAATTGGCTTCACAGCTAAGAGTAACCTCGCAGCTAAGGCGGGCTTAACTCCTAGTCCCGGTAGCGCCGCCGGCGGCGGCGGAGGCGGCGGGAGTGGCGGGGGAACGGGGAGGAAGCTCCGCGTGGGGCGGCAGCGATCGTGGCTGCCACGTGGCAGCAGCCCGTCAGCGTCGCAAGCAGCATCTGCCAGCTCACCTTTCACATCAGGTGAGGAGCGTAGCGTCCTGTGTACTTGAGACCATGCGCTCTACCCTTTCAGAAGCAACTCAGGCTTAGTTCTCTAGGTGCTTGAAATCGCTTTTCTCTTCCTCCTCTTTCTCACCCTTCTGCTGCACCGTAATGGCTGCCTCTCACCCCTTCCTCTCACCCTTCCCTCTCTCCCTCCCCCTCTCCCCCCTTCCCCTCCCCCCCTTTCCCCCCAGCCCCCTGGTCGATGTGTCGGTTCCGCCTCACCACTCTCCTCGAAATCGCCTTCTCCTTCCTCCTCCTCTTCGTCACCCTTCTGCTGCACCGTAACGGCTGCCTCTCCCCCTCCTCCGCCGCTTTCCCCCTCTGCTGGCGCAACCTGGGCGTCTCCCTCCCCCCATCCCTCCGCCCATCCCTCCCCTCATCCCTCCGCCAATCCCTCCCCCCATCTGTCGTGCAAGGAGAGAGCCGCGGGGGAGTGAGAAGGAGGGGGGAAGGAATGGGGGGAAGAAGAGAGAGTGGGGGGATGCAGGGGGTGGCGGAAGGGTTGAGGGGAAGAGGTGTGAATGTTTTAAGACAGGAGGGAGACGCGTCATTACTACGAGTGCTGATGCCAGGAAATGGGGAAAGCAGTGGGAGCAGCCCTGGGGAAGGGGGAAGGGGGAGGGAGGGGCTGGGGGAAGCAGATGCGGCTGCAGCTGCTGAAATGATGGGGCGGGGGGGGGAGGAGGGGAGAGGGAGTGGAGAGGGGAAAGCAGCAGGGGGGGCAGTGATGGGGGGGAAGGCAGGGAAGGGGAAGGGGGGGAATTACAGCATTCAACGCCAGGGGAAGGTTCAATTACAGGGAACGAGTCAGGGGGAGGGGAACGGGGAGGGGGAGGGGGAGGTCAGGGGGAAGGGGGAGATTCGGGGGAAGGGGAGGCGCAGCATGGGGGGAAGAGGGGGGGAGACGAGTGGGTGCTGCGACCTGATGAGAAGTTCATGTGGTTCGCCAGCCATGGCGGGTTTGGTAACCAGGTGGGCGACATTTGGATTCTGGTAACCATGTAGGCGAAATCTGGATTTTGGTAACCGTGTAGGCGAAATCTGAATGTTGGTAACCATGTAGGCAAGATTTGAATTCTGGTAACCTTGCTTGCTCCTCCCCTTGCCCCCCTATCCAGGCGATTCAACCAGTCTGGGGTCTCAGTTTAGCTGGGATTCTAAACCGAACTGAACGTTCAAATTTCACCCAAGCTCCCAATTTTCTTGCGCCTCCTCCTTTTCTCTCCCCGTTCTCCCTCGGCATTGGCCGCCGTTTTCTGGGTCAACTCAAAACACGGCCCATTCTCCTTCGGCATTGGACGCGCCAGTTTTTGAGAATTCTCGAAAACCATTTTGAGGATTCTCAAAAACTGGGTCGACTCAAGCACGGCCCATTCTCCTTTGGCATTGGATGCCACAACCTCTTTGCTCCTTGCCTCTTTTCTTTCCCCCTCTCACCCCGCTTCTGCCTTCTTCTCCCCTGTTCTCCCGTTTTCTCTCCCAATCCCTTCCCTTCTCCCCTCCATTGCAGGTGATTCAACTTGTGTGGGGCCTTCGCCTTGCTGGCCTCCTCAATCGGACGCTCATCATCCCACCAAAGCTCTCGCACTTCGCCAAATCATCTGGCATCAGTCAGTGCAACCTTTTTGCTGCTTCCTCCCTTTGCTCCCCATGTCTGCCTTATTAGGTGATTCAACTGGTGTGGGGCCTCAGGCTAGCAGGACTTCTGAACAGAACGCTCATCATCCCACCCAAGCTCTCGCACTTTGCCAAGTCGTCTTTGCAACCTTTTTGCTGCTTCCCCCCTTTGCTCCCCATGTCCGCCTTATTAGGTGATTCAACTGGTGTGGGGCCTTCGCCTAGCAGGTCTCCTAAAAAGAACGCTCATCATCCCACCAAAGCTCTCGCACTTTGCCAAATCATCTGGCATCGGCCGTTGTGACAGAAACCCCATCTTTGACCCCTTTCCTCCCCTCTCTTTCAGGTGATTCAATTGGTGTGGGGCCTTCGCCTAGCTGGCCTTCTCAACAGAACGCTCATCATCCCCCCCAAGCTCTCGCACTTCGCCAAGTCGTCTGGCATCGACTGCTCTTCCCCCCCCCATCCCTTCTCGATATTTCTACGTCTCCCTCCGTTGCAGGTGATTCAACTGGTGTGGGGTCTCAGGCTAGCAGGTCTCCTCAACCGAACGCTCATCATCCCCCCCAAGCTCTCCCATTTCGCCAAGTCATCTGGCATCGGCCGGTGCGATCGCAACCCCACCAAGCCGGACCGGACGCGGCACGATGCGTGGGGTCACTACTCTGACATGATGCGCGGGGGGAAGGTGAGAGAAAGGGAAGGGGTTGTGATGGGTGTGTGCAAGGATGCATGCAATGAAACCCCACCAAGCCAGATAGGACAAGGCATGATGCATGGGGGCACTACTCTTACATGATGCGCGGGGGGAAGGTGAGAATGAAGGGGAGGGGGGGGGGGTGCGTGTGTACGGGTAACCTATGCTTGAATGCCACCCCACCAAGCCGGATAGGACACGGCACGATGCATGGGGGCACTACTCTGACATGATGCGAGGAGGGAAGGTGAGAGAGAACGGGGGGGAGCTGATTGTGCATTGGAGCAGGGTGACTGCATGATGTACTATTTTCCCCCTGTCCCTCCCACCCAAACACCACCCCAGGGTTATGTATCCATGGCTGACGTGCTCGACTTCAAGACTCTGCCGGCCGCGCTCATCCGCACCATCGACCTGCGGCACTTTGCCACCCGGTTCTGCCACTGTGTTCCGAGTCCCACCCTTCCCCCCCTCCCCACACCCTCCCCCCTCAGGGCTATGTATCCATGGCTGATATCCTTGATTTCAAGACTCTGCCGCCCGTTCTCATCCGAACCATCGACCTGCGGCACTTTGCCCTCCCCATGACCTGTGTTCCCCTTTCCCCCCTTTTCCAACCCCCCCCTCAACCCCCCCTTCCCCTTCCCCCACCCCCAGGGCTATGTATCCATGGCTGATATCCTTGATTTCAAGACTCTGCCGCCTGCGCTCATCCGAACCATCGACCTGCGTCACTTTGCCAGCCGGTTCTGCCACTGTGACGTGGCACCCGCCTGCTACGGTGGCGCGTGCCGGCAGCTAACTCACGGGCGGCACCATGACCCCCACTCACGTAAGGTGCTCATTGCTCCTCTTTGATCCCTTCTCTCTGCCCTCTGCCCTCTGCCCTCTGCTCTCTGGTCACTGCCCCTTGCGCATTGCTCGCTGCACTGCTCTCTTCTCACTGCTCTCTGCTCGTGCCCTGATGGGACTTGTAGCTTTTGCCCCTGTGATGTGGCGCCCGCCTGCTATGGTGGGGGGTGTCGGCAGCTGGCTCACAGGCGGCACCACGACCCCCACTCACGTAAGGTGCTCTCTTTCGTGCTCTTGCTCTTTTCTCGCTGCTCCTAGCTCTTGGCTCTGCTCACAGCTCAGTACAAGCCGCATGTCGGCAGCAGCTGACGCACAGGAGGCACCACGACCCCCACTCACGTAAGGTGCTCATTGCTCCTCCCCGCTCACTGCTCGTTGCTCTTGCTCCTGCGCTTGCTCTTTGCTCACTGCTCCTTGCTCCTTGGCTCTGGTCATAGCTCCTTACAACAATGTGCGTGTCGGCAGCAGCTGGCTCACGGGCGGCACCACGACCCCCACTCACGTAAGGTGCTCCTCTTTGCTCCGTGCTCTTGCTCTTCTTTCGCTGTTCCTAGCTCTTGGCTACGCTCCCAGCTCATTACAAGGCGTGTGTGTCGGCAGCAGCTTATGCACGGGTGGCACCATGACCCCCACTCACGTAAGGTGCTCATTGCTCCTCGCACTACTCTCCTCTCTCCTCTGTCCTCTCTGCTCACCGCTCCTTGCGCATTGCTCACTGCTCTCCCTGCAACTCAAAAGCCACACTCACGTTTTTGAGAATTTTCAGAAGTGACACACACACACACACACGGTCACTCACTCCCTCTTCCTCTCCCACAGGACGACAAGTGCATGTGAGAGTGCGAAGCTCCTGAGTCAAACTCAAAATTCACTAACGCACTCACTCTCACGCACACAGCCACTCACTCTCTCTCCTAGGGGGACAGAGGAACAATGTATTTGCAAGCGAGCAATTTCAACTCCTTTTTTCTCTTCCTTCCCCTTCCACCCCACCCACTCTTCAGGACGACAAGTGCATGTGGGAGTGCGGAGCAAAGCTAGGGGCGCAGGGAGGGGCGAGTAAGAAATGGAGGAAGGAGGGGGTGCTGTATCCGGTCGACAACACGTGCAAGGACACACTGTGGACGATTGGCAATTATGCAAGGTAGGTGCATGGTGCAGTGCGGTGGAATGCAGTGGGAAGCGGTGGTATGCGAAGCTAGGGGCACAGGGAGGGGCGAGTAAGAAATGGAGGAAGGAGGGGGTGCTGTATCCGATTGACAACACGTGCAAGGACACACTATGGACCATTGGGAATTATGCCAGGTATGTGCATGTTGCAGTGCGGTGGAATGTGATGCATCGCGGTGGTTGCGGTGGAATGCAGTGAAATCTAGAACTAGGGACGCATGGGGGGGCAAGTAAGAAATGGAGGAAGGAGGGGGTGCTGTATCCCGTTGACAACACGTGCAAGGACACACTGTGGACGATTGGCAATTATGCAAGGTAGGTGCATGGTGCAGTGCGGTGAAATGCGGTGGGAAGCGGTGGAATGCAAAGCTAGGGGCACAGGGGAGGGGCAAGTAAGAAATGGAGGAAGGAGGGGGTGCTGTATCCGATTGACAACACGTGCAAAGACACATTATGGACCATTGGCAATAATGCCAGGTATATCCATGGCCGAGTGCGGTGCAGTGTGGTGGATTTTGTGTCATGAAGTGTATCACGTTATCCAAGGGCCTAGTGGCAGCATTGGGAGAGAAAGGTCCAACAGTGCCGGCCTTTGCCCAAATCAGCCTTTGTCCAACTGTGCTGTTTCTTCCTCCCTTTTAGACATCTCAAACCCCCTCCCCCTCTAACCCCCCTCCCCTTTCCCTGCCGCACCTCTTCCCCCCTTCTCATCCTGCAAGTCTCAAGGACCTAGTAGCAGCAGTGGGGGATAAAGAGCCACATGAACATGAAGGACCTAGTGCCGGCCTTCGCACACATCAACATGAAGCAAGGTGTTCTCTGTCTCGCCCCCATGCCCCATCTCCACCCGCCTCCCTCCCCGCATTCATCAAGTCTCAAGGACCTAGTAGCAGCAGTGGGAGACAAGGAGCCAGCAGTGCCGGCGTTTGCCCACATCAACCTGAAGCACAACCGCAATGAGCCCGTACCACTGAATATCTTCTCTACTCTGGGGGACTTATCACCTGCCAAGGACAGCAAGGTGGGAGGGTGCTTAATGGGCGGGCTGAAATACTGGTACAGTTGTGGGGTAATGTTGAGAAGCCGCATCAACCTGAAGCACAACCGCAATGAGCCTGTGCCACTCAACATCTTCTCCACTCTGGGAGACTCATCCCCTGCCAAGGACAGCAAGGTGGGTGCTTGTGGCGAGGCCTAACAAACAGTGCTGCACACATGAACTTGAAGCACAATCGCAACGAGCCCATGCCACTCAATATCTTCTCTTCTCTGGGAGACTCATCCCCTGCCAAGGACAGCAAGGTGGGTGCTGGGTAGGACTAACAACCTGTGCTGTCAACACATCAACTTGAAGCACAACCGCAACGAGCCCGTACCGCTCAACATCTTTGCCACTCTCGGGGATTCATCCCCTGCCAAGGACAGCAAGGTGGGTGCTTTGGGATGGGACGGACTCTTAAAAAATGTTACGTGTGTGGTGTTGAGAAGACACATCAACTTGAAGCACAACTGCAATGAGCCCGTACCGCTCAACATCTTTGCCACTCTCGGGGATTCATCCCCTGCCAAGGACAGCAAGGTGGGTGCTGCTGTGCTGATATTATTCTTGCTGTCACAACAAGCCCTTACCACTCAACATTATTGGTACTCTGGGGCATCCAGTCGCTTAGTTTTAATCTCCCTTCTCAATATCTCCTCCTCTCTTTTTCTCCCCTCCTCTCTTTTTCTCCCCTCCCCTCTTTTTCTCCCCTCCTCTCTTTTTCTCCCCTCCCCTCTTTTTCTCCCCTCCCCTCTTTTTCTCCCCTCCCCTCTTTTTCTCCCCTCCCCTGTGTTCCCATCAGGTGTTGGCCTTCCCCTCGCTCTTCCATCCTCGCATTGCAGACATCAATCTTGAGTGGGACGACCGTGTGCAAGCGATTAGAGAGGTGAGCGGGGTGGTAAGGTGGGTGCGGTGATAAGGCGGGTGGGGCGTAGAAGAGTGGTGACTGATGTCAAGGTGAACCTTTTTGCGTTAACTCTAAAGTCGCCTTCTAAAAGAAACAAAACGGTGCACAAGAGTGACTATTAGAAATGGTGTTGACAAGTGGTGTAACTAGCCCAGCCGAGGTGTACTTGAGTGCGGCAATCGCATACAAAGGTACATGCGTGTTATAAGAGCTGGGAAAAGGAGGTCGCCCCTATGGCTGCGTGCACTTTCACATACTCCACTTACTCTTTTGAGTCGACTCAAAAGTCATTCTCACATACTCCACTTACTTCCCCATGTTGAGTGGGAGTGAGTGGAGTGTCAATGCTTGCACTCACACTCCACTCACACTCCTCTTCCACTTGCAGGCACCCGTATCGATGCCCTTCACTCCCCTCGTAATGGATCTGGCTTGTACAAAGGCCGCCCCTTTGGCTGCATGCACTTTCTCACACTGCCCTTACGCCTCCCATGCTTGCAGGCACCCGTATCGATGCCCTTCACTCCCCCTATAATGGACCTGGCTCGTGGCTTTATATACAACAGCATAGGCCGGCCCTTTGGCTGCATGCAAGTGCGGGGCACTGACGGCATGTTCGTCAAAGCGCTAAAAAACACTCTCAAGTAAGTTTTTTCTCATGACCTGACAGCACCCTTTTTTCGACACAGTTAATCTTCTGTTCTTTTTCCTCAATTGACCTTGCACAAATGCGCGTGCTATGCTTATAAACGTGTTTTGAGTTGATCCATTACACAGCTTTCTTTCCCACCTGTCTTTCCTCTCATCAGGGATGCAGAAGCGACGCTAAAAGAGATGCTTAAGCGCAAACCGAAAGCCCACGCCCCTCCCCTTAAGTTCCCGCTCTTCCTTATGACCGACATTCCCAAGGCCTCGTGGAAAGGAACCTTCCTGGAGCACCTCGGGGAATTTCCTGTCGAGCTTTTCACTGTAGACGGGATAATGGATAGGATTAACGCGGCGGCGCGGACGATTTTAACAGAGGAGATTGGGCTGTATGCTAATCGGGGACAGCCGTACCTGACTGGTAGCGGGGTTGCTAATATGAGGGATGGCAGTGGTGCTGCTGGGAGTGGTGGTGGTAGTGGGGGAACAGGAGGCATGCAGATTGGCCCGCAGACTCCTGTGAGACAAAGACGGCGCAGACTGGCAGTGGCAGACAGAGGGGAGGGGGAGAGATTGGAGGAAGGAGAGAGCGAGACGTTCACACAGGGGCGAGTAGAGGGTGAACTGGACGAATTGGAGGATTGGATAAGGAGGAGGAGATTAGCAGAGGGGGGAGGAGAGGAGGGGGAGAGATTGGAGGAAGGAGAGAGTGATCATTTCACACAGGGGCTAGTAAAGGTTGACGAGGTCAAATTGGAGGATCGGATAGGAAGGCGGAGATTAGCAGAGGGGGGAGGGGAGGAGGGGGGAAAGAGAGCGGAGGAGCTAGAGGATATAGTGCTGTTCGTCGAACAAGCCATCTGCTGCCATGCGACTCTCGGCACGTTCACGACGTTCAAGTCCACTGCTGGTAGCCTCGTGCATGCTCTGAGGAGGGCGGGTAACTGTGTTGTGGAGGAGGAAGCTTTTAAGCAGCACGGGGGGAGGAGATGATGAAAGGAGTTTTGGAAGCAGGGAGGGGCAGTTGAGGCTCGTTCACGACGTTCAAGTCCACTGCTGGCAGCCTCGTGCATGCTCTCAGACGCGCGGGGAACTGTGTGATAGAGGAGGAGGCGTTTGGGAGGCAGGGAGGGGGCAGATGAGGAGGAGAGAGGGCAGATGGGAGACCATCTGCCATGCGACTCAGGGCACGTTCACGACCTTGAAGTCCACTGCTGGCAGCCTCGTGCATGCTCTGAGACGCGCGGGGAACTGTGTTGTGGAGGAGGAGGCGTTTGGGAAGCAGGGGACCGGGAGGAGATGATGAAAGGAGTTTCGGAAGCAGGGAGGGGGCAGATGAAGAGGGGAGCAGAGGAGGGAGCAGGCAAATATGCTGCCATGCGACTCTGGGCACGTTCACAACCTTCAAGTCCACTGCTGGTAGCCTCGTGCATGCTCTCAGACGCGCGGGTAACTGTGTGGTGGAGGAGGAAGCTTTTAAGCAGCACGGGGGGAGAAGATGATGAAAGGAGTCTTGGAAGCAGGGAGGGGGGCAGTTGACTCGCGTTCATGACCTTCAAGTCCACTGCTGGCAGCCTCGTGCATGCTCTGAGAGGGGCAGGGAACTGTGACATAGAAGAGGAGGCGTTTCAGCGGCAGGGGGGAATGAGATGATGAAAGGAGTTTTGGAAGCTGGGAGGAGGCGTGACAAGGCAGAAAAGAAGAGGAGAATTCACTAGTTGTGGAGAGGGAGGGGAGGGGAGACTTGGTATTCTGGGGGTCAATTGCTGTCGTGCCTTTTGGAGTAGGTAATTAAAAGTACTTCCGGATGTGTAGCATCATGCGATGTGATGTCATGTCATGCTAAGCACATTGTTGTACAGCTGATTTTGAGATGGGAAAACCTGGAATGGGCTTATCTTCTTAGCATGTTTGTTACAGAAAAACTCAACCTATGCCAGTTGTGCCATCATAGGGTGTTGAATCCAATTTTTGCACCTTACATATGGAAATCAGTCATCTGAATACTAACGTAGGCATGCACCTCTACACCATCCTAGTGCGAATTTACTAGGGAGAATTGATCTTGAATCCTGATCCTCTATCTAGGCACGGCCACCCTCACATTCCGAATTGACAGCGGTGCCATGATCATGACCCAAAACAGAGCATTCCACCTCCTCTACTCTGCTCCTCCACCCACTCATCCTTTCAGTCCTGTGCGACAAGAATGCACGCAAGCAAAGGCTTGACTCCCAGCAGTTAACCACCTTCTTGCCCACAAACCACGCCCATTCCGTCCACACGTACCACAAGCATTCCATTCATGCTCGTGCCTATCCTTCATTCATGCAGTCACAGGAGGGGGCGGTGCCATGAGCCAGGACAGGGTGTTGTAAAGATGCTCCACCCACCCATCCAGCGGGCCCAGGTGGCAATAATGCAAACAGTCCACTTTCCCAGACGCCAGCACAAACCCCTTCTCTTGCCTATGCCTCCGCCTCTGCCTCAGTCTATCCTTCATGCAGTAACAGGTGGAGGCGGTGCCATGAGCCAAGACAGGGTGTTGTAAAGATGCTCCACCCACCCATCCAGCGGACCCGGGTGGCAATAATGCAAACAGTCCACCTTCCCAGACGCCGGCACAAACTCCTTATGCCCATCCGCCCGCAGCGCAGTCATCGAATTGACATCCATATAAGCAGCCCCGTATCTCTTTACAATCACCTCCGCCAGCTTGTTCTGCCGCGCGAATTTATCCCAGTTATACGGCAGAATGCCCGGATCCTGCCGTTTCTTCAGCGGGGTTTTCTGACCAGAGCAGTTGGCGTGGCCGGGCGGGGTGTTTCGCCAGATAATGAGCTTTTCGGGGAAGCGGCTTCTGAGGTACATAAGGGCGCGTTCGAGCACCGGTGCGTACAGCTCATCCTCTTCATAGTGCGGCCCACGATTGATTATAATAACGTCGGCTTCGCGAATAACTTCCATGCGAGACCACGGCTGGTGGTCGAACAAGCGGGGATTCGCCAGCGTCAGCTGGTCCGTTCGAACATAAGCTGCCCGGAGCCCCGGGCAGACGTCGTCGCTGACCGAATAAAACTTGCAGAAGGCGTGCCGGACCGACGAATCGTTGTGCCAATCGGAGCAGTATTTTGGAATCTCCATCCTCAAATGCTCCTCGGAAACCGGTTTCGGGAGATTCACCACGAGGTTGTTCAGAAACGCCTCTGAAAACTGCTCGTTTAGAGAGTCTCCTAGGAACAGAAAGAACCTCCCTCGCCCCACTCTCTCGCAGAAATTCTTAGGAGAAAATTTCATCCAGCTGAAGTGGGAAAACCGCATCGCCATCCGTATCGTTGCCCGCCCATCTCTACCGCTCTCCACCCCTCTGGCCTCCCTTCCCCGGAACCTCCTCCCCCCCTCCTCCTCCTCATCCTCCTCCACCTCCCACGATCGCACCGGCACCTTCGGGCACGCATTCACCGGCACCCCCCATTTATACTTGAGAGTTTTCCTTACACTCCACTCCTCGGGATCCCCTTTTGCATCCGCGATCGCATCTGCTTCTTCCATATATTTCCCATGATGTCGCCCGCTCATAGGTGAGTCGCATTGGTAGGGTTTCCCCATGAACCACCAGGGTAATCGGCGGGGTTTCGGGTCGTATACCCAGTAGCCCTCCTGACCAACGCATTTCATCCAGGATCGGAATTTCTGAACCTGCAGCGGGGTTCGGAGCACCGAGCCTCGGATCTGGTCCGTCGGCCGAAGCAGCGAGCGCCCGCTAGCTTCGGCGTCGGCAAGAGCTTCGGCGGCAGCTTCGGCGTCGCGGGTTGGGGACATTGCAGCGGCGACAGCAGCGGGTGAGGTGTAGATATCGTGAGCTATGCGATCAATAACATCGTCAATCTCCCGCGTGTTGCACTCCAATTGGCCGGATCCCGCCGCCACGTCATCACCGTCGCCGCCCGGCTGGCAGATAAGGACGAAAGAACGGACGTCGTTGGCGGAGGCGAAGGAGCGGGAGAGGAGGGTGTAGCGGGTGGTGTGTGAGGCGGGGAGGGGCGGGCGCAGGTCAAGCACTGCTGCCCGGGGCGGCATGAACATGGTGTTGGTGATGGCGAGGCCGAGACAGGTTATGAAGAGTGCTGCTCGGTTGAATAAGTGTTTCCCTGGGTGGAGGGATACAGGGGGGTGAGGGATAGAGGGGAGTGAGTGAGAGGCATGAACATGGTGTTGGTGATGGCGAGGCCGAGACAGGTTATGAAGAGTGCTGCTCGGTTGAATAAGTGTTTCCCTGGGTGGAGGGATACAGGGGGGTGAGGGATAGAGGGGAGTGAGTGAGAGGCATGAACATGGTGTTGGTGATGGCGAGGCCGAGACAGGTTATGAAGAGTGCTGCTCGGTTGAATAAGTGTTTCCCTGGGTGGAGGGATACAGGGGGGTGAGGGATAGAGGGGAGTGAGTGAGAGGCATGAACATGGTGTTGGTAATGGCGAGGCCGAGACAGGTGATGAAGAGTGCTGCTCGGTTGAATAGGTGTTTCCCTGGGTGGAGGGATACAGGGGGTTGAGGGATAGAGGGGAGTGAGTGAGAGGCATGAACATGGTGTTGGTGATGGCGAGGCCGAGACAGGTTATGAAGAGTGCTGCTCGGTTGAATAAGTGTTTCCCTGGGTGGAGGGATACAGGGGGGTGAGGGATAGAGGGGAGTAAGTGAGAGGCATGAACATGGTGTTGGTAATGGCGAGGCCGAGACAGGTGATGAAGAGTGCTGCTCGGTTGAATAAGTGTTTGCCTGGGGGGATATGGGTTGAGAGTGTAGTGTGGATGTAGTGAGGATGAGGGTGGATAAAGGGAGCAGAGCAGGGCAGGAGGGTGTGAGAGGCATGAACATGGTGTTGGTGATGGCGAGGCCGAGACAGGTTATGAAGAGTGCTGTGCGGTTAAATATGTGCTTTCCTGGGGTGGGGATAGAGGTGGGTGGGGGAGAGAGGTGAGTGTGTGAGAGGCATGAACATGGTGTTGGTTATGGCGAGGCCGAGACAGGTGATGAACAGTGCTGCGCGGTTGAATATGTGCTTTCCTGGGGTGGGGAAAGGGTGGATATGGAGAGGGATACAGGGAGCAGAGGAGAGGGGAGTGGGTGAGAGGCATGAACATGGTGTTGGTAATGGCGAGGCCGAGACATGTGATGCCAAAAGAGTCTGCGCGGTTGAATATGTGCTTTCCTGGGTGAATGTAGGTTGAATGTGGGGTGGATAATAATGGGGAATAGGGTGGATAAAGGGAACAGAACAGAGCAGGGGGGAGTGATGTGAATCTGTGCTTGCCTGGTTGGACGTAGGTGAATGCGTTTACATGGACGTGCTGACATGGTCGCTCTTAGATAAGAACGAACCTTCCATGATCTTTCTGCTGGAGGAGAAGACGACGATTCTGTCAGGAGGGAAGTATCGGTGCAACAGCTCCTCCACCTGTCCCAGTGCCCTGGTGCAGCGCATTGAGTCGTGGGCCACCACCACCTGCTCATGCGTACACAAAGAGACGTACGTGCACATTCACGTGAATATAAAACAAGGCAAGTATCGGTGCAGCTCCTCCTCCACCTGCCCCAATGCCCTGGTGCACCGCATTGAATCGTGAGCCAACACCACCTGTCAGTACAGGAAGCAGTATACATGCATGCATATGCATCCACAGGGTTATGAATGAGAGGGAAATACCAGTGCAACAGCTCCTCCACCTGCCCTAATGCCCTGGTGCACCGCATCGAATCGTGAGCCACCACCACCTGCCCATCCAGTCAGGGCATTGAATTGAAGAGGTTAGAAGAGCGTGAGTATCGGTGCAGCAGCTCCTCCACCTGCCCTAATGCCCTGGTGCACCGCATTGAGTCGTGAGCCACCACCACCTGCTCATGAATGCACACACCGATCCAAGCATAAGTGCACCACACAGGGATATGAATGCATATGTGTAAGCATGGGTATGAGAGGGTGAGTATCGCTGCAGCAGCTCTTCTACCTGCCCCAGCGCTTTAGTGCATCGCATTGAGTCGCGTGCCACCTCCACCTGTTGACACTCACAGCAATACACATGCATAGGGATGTGAGAGTGAGCATTTGAGAGGAGAGGGGTGGGGGTTACAATGGTGCAGCAGCTCCTCCACCCAGTGCCTTGGTGCATTGCATTGAGTCATGAGCCACCTCCACCTGTTGACACTCACAACACCCTGAGCGTATCCCTCCACTGGCAGAGCAGGCAGCGATGGAAACACAGATCGTGCTGCTTGCTTGTAGCATGACTGGACCGACCTGAAAGGAGGAACAACGCAACTTTACACACCTAATTCCTCTCACCTGCCAGCCTATAGGCACCCACGAGCCGTGCAGGTCCCCTCCCTGCGCGTATCCCTCCACTGGCAGAGCAGGCAGCGACGGGAACACCGATCTAGCCCCATCCAGGAACCCAGGCGGCACCTTGGGCACCAGCTCTAGCGGAGAGGCAGGGTCATTGAGAGCAGACGAGGGGATGCTTGCACACACATAGACTCTCACCTGCCAGCCTATAGGCACCCATGAGCCGTGCAGGTCCCCTCCCTGCGCGTATCCCTCCACTGGCAGAGCAGGCAGCGACGGGAACACAGATCTCGCCCCATCCAGGAACCCAGGCGGCACCTTGGGCACCAGCTCTAGCGGAGAGGCAGGGTCACTCAGAGCAGACGCAGGGCCATCAGTGGGGGAAGCAGAGTCTTCAGTCAGAGAGCGTGCAGAGGAGGAGGAGGAGGAGGAGGAGGAGGAGGAGGAGGAGGAGGAGGAGGAGGAGGAGGAGGAGGAGGAGGAGGAGGAGGAGGAGGAGGAGGAGGAGGAGAGGGTGGGAGTGAGGGTGGCGGGATCGGTGGGGTCTGGAGGGGGAGGGATGGGGAGGAGGAAGCGTCTGCGGAAGTGTTTCCAGAGAGGGAGGTCGGGATTGGTGCAGTGCGGTATGACTGGTTGGTAGAGCGTCTGCACGTGCCACAGGTACTTGCTGCTGGTGCCATCGGTGGTGGAGAGAAAGGAGTGTGATGCGAGAGGGAGGCCCAGTAGCTGCGATATTAGCAGCTGGAGCAGCTGTGGGTGGGATGGGGGGGGCGGAAGGGGAGGGGAAAAGAGAGGGTGAACGGGGAAAGAAAGGGGGGAGAAAGAGGGGAGAGAGGTGGGCAGGGGAAGAAGGGAGCGAAATGAGCTGCGTTTTTACCAGTTCGTACCACAATGTACTGCAATCCACTGCACTGCACCATACCATACCTCCTTGGCATGAGTGACAACTTTGGCTCGGCGCAGGGACGGCATCACCATGAGAATCTGATCGTACAGGGGACGCCTCTCCACTGCACCACTTCACACCACTTTGTACAGCACTTTACCGCATTCCACCGCACCGCGCCATACCTTCTTGGCGTGAGTGACGACTTTGGCTTGGCGCAGGGATGGTAGCACCATGAGAATCTGATCATACGAGGACGCCTCATATCTGATACCACCGCACTGCACCACTTCACACCACTTCATACCACACTTTACCGCACTCAACCGCCTTTTCACCACACTGCACCATACCTTGGTGTGAGTGACGACTTTGGCTTGGCGCAGGGACGGCAGCACCATGAGAATCTGATCGTACAGGGGACGCCTCATATCTGATACCACCGCACTGCACCACTTCATAACACAATATACCGCACTGTATCGCATTCCACCGCACTGAACCATACCTTTTTGGCGTGAGTGACGACTTTGGCTCGGCGCAGGGACGGCAGCACGTGGTGCAGAGGCAGCAGGGGCGGCAGCACCATGAGAATCTGATCGTACAGGGGTCGCCTCTCCATAAAGTGACCCGGTAGAAGCAGATTCAGTACAGTCTCCTGGCGAGACACGTGTGTATCCACTCCATACACCGTCTGATGATCGATCAGAAGTGAAGGGGGGAGAGAGGCAGGCCGGAAGGGAGGGAGGGAGGGAGAGAGGGAGAAAGGGAGGGAGAAAGGGAGGGAGAAAGGGAGGGAGAAAGGGAGGGAGTGGGAGGGAACAAGGGTTGCTGCTGGCAGTGGCAGCAACCCGAGACAGCATGGTCGGCACAGCACATGTGCAGATGAACGACTTTTGAGCCGACGAAAAGGAAACATGAGTTCACATTCCAATACCCTCGCGGGCAGCACGGACGCACCTGTGACGATGACGTGGCGCATCCTGACACGTCGAAGCGATGCGTCGCGTTGAACACGCGCCCCTCGCCATCTAAGAACACGTCCCTCAGCACAAACAGCGCACTTGCTGGCACCGACAATGGGGGCAGCACAGGCTGCACAGCACGGACGCTTTTCGAGGCGCCTCAAGACGCACGCACGTACCTGTGAAGTTGACGTGGCGCATCCTGACACGTCGAAGCGATGCGTCGCATTGAACACGCGCCCCTCGCCATCCAGAAACACGTCGTTCAACACAAACAGCGCACCCGCCGGCTCCGGAGCCTTCTTGGCCGCCTTACCCCACTTTAATCTCCGCCGCGCCTGCGCCTCCCTCTGCGCCTGCTCCTGCGCGGCGCGTAACTCGGCCGTTCTAAGCGACAACGTGATTGGTCCCGGGTCGTCATCTGGAGGGCAGCCGGGTCGCAATAGGTGCCCCGGTTGCGTCCCGTCGTCTTCTAAGCACTCATCCAGCGGGTTAAATCCCGTGCTGAAGTGGATCCGCGCCTGCGTACGGTTCAGGAGAATCGTACGGCCGTACGCTGCCAGGTCAGCATCGGGATCGACGGGATCCGCGGGATTCCAACACGTGGCGACCTTCCCGCCGAACCCGGGGCAGGGGGAGAAATCGGGACACGGTTTCCCCTTGCAAGACACCGTTCCGGCTGGAACAGATACGTCTGACGAGGAGGAGAGAGAGGCGAGAGGAGCGAAGCGGACGAGCTTTAATTGAGAGAGATTAATCGGCTTCCCTAGGGAGTATTTTCCAGCTCTCCGGCCAGAGGACTGGAGACTCTGTAAGCGTCGTCGCTGAAACAGGCTATTGCCGGCGGAGATGCTGGTTAATGACGAACGATCAGACGCGTTATAGCGGGTGCTGGGTAGTTCTATAAGGGGGTCCGTTTCAGCAGAGGGTTCCAGTCGCGTTAGCAAACGGGATACGAGACGATAATCGGCTGGAGAGAAGTGCGAGAGAGCACCGACCGACCCTATAACGAATGCGGTTATAGCGAGGAGGATTGTAAGGAGGATCGCCGAGCCAGACGGCCTTGAGAATGGTCGAGGCGCCATGAGCACATGAGAGGAGAAATTATCGCTCGCAAAATCAGGGCCCAACGTTAATTAACAATGACGATCAGTGGGAGGAGGGCACGCCCGCATCCAGCGGCGAGGGAATGCGCGGCTCGGACGACGGGAGTGCAGGGGCCAGAATCCAGGACACGCAATGGGATCGGATCGGATCGGATCGGATCGGATCGGATAGGTTAGAGACAATACGTGGTGCCTCTTACTACGAACAGCATCGTGGAACGGAATAGCTCTATCCGCGCCAATTGACTTATTGCAAGAGAATGTAATACAATCTAGCCCGGCTGTTCTGAAGAATTCTCAGAACGAGGACAAAGCCTAATGCCTCCAACCCAGCGTGCCAAGGACTACTGTAAACACATGTGCTCCTTCTCACAACTCATCGACTCCCCTCGGTGTAATGCCGCACCGCAATGGGCTCTTCAACTGGAGCTTAATCCACTCGAGCCGCGAGGATCCCCCTTAACGACATCAAGCGACACTGCATTTTCCCGTAGCGCACCTAACCCAGACATCAACCGAGAGGTAAAGGCGAGGGAGGGGCAAGCAGGCACGCTTGAGTTGGGTTGGGTTGTTCGTTTGGGTTCGCTTTGACAAGCCAGGGGGCGTGTCGGGAAGTACGTTGGAATGCGGCGTAGCGAGATGCTTCACGTTCTACAGGTTTTGGATAGCATCTAGAACGGTTGCGAGGATGTTTAAGCGAAAATGAATGCAGAACAGGACAGGAAGCACCCAGACAGGAAGACACAGGCACTCCACAGGACAGCAACAATGGTGCGGTTAGGTGTGTAACTAACGTCACCTGGCTGTTACTTTCTTAAATTTATAATACAATATTTTTCAAAATTGCACATATTACATGCGCATCTAGTGTAGCGGTATCATAGTACCCTCCCACGGTACTGACCGGGGTTCGATTCCCCGGATGCGCAAAGCTGGACCTTTTCTCCCACTGCCCAACTGTAATTTGATCCCCATGCTTTGATCAGGCTCTTTTACCTTTTTGCCCAGCTCTGTTTCTTGTGATACGTTGCTGATATGCTTTACGGTCTATCCCACCCTCTCATTCCAACAACCAAGACAGGACTTAGGGCGCATCCCTGAGTTGGTGGCAAGGCAACTGTTGGTGGCAAGCGCATTTTCCGGCCCACTGAATTTTTGGGTACACTTGCCACCAACTCGATGTGAACAGTTGCCCTGCCACGAACCAGGGATGCACCCTTACACGCTCAGTGCTCACTTCTCGCTTAGAACCCTCAATCCCCATATGAAACAGACCTCACAAGGTGTACTACCACTGGACTAGCAGCCAAAGCCAATGAACCCCAAGCAACCCAACGTTTCAAATACGGTGCCAGTGAACTCTCCTGCCTGCCAATCATTCACATAAATACAACAGACGTATCCTATCGTCTGATGCTGGTAGCCATATAAAGCTGGCACTTGTAACCTGATAATCCTCCATAACATAACTATGGTGGAGGAGGCAATGTCCTGAGCAAAGTATTGTACAGGATGTCCATCCATGAATCCAACGGACCAGGAGTGCAGTAGTGCAAGCAGTCCAGCCGTTGGATCGACGGCTTCCATCCCTTGTGCCCATCCGGCCGTAGAGCCGTCATCGAATCAACATCCATGTAAACAATCCCTAGCTCCTCCGCTATTCCTCGTGCCATTTCATTCTGCACGCTCAGCTTCTCCCAATTGTAAGGAAGAATGCTCGGATCCTGCCTTTTCGAAATCGGGACCGTTGCGTTTTCGCAGTCTGCATGACCTGGCGGGGAGTTTCGGTAGATGATGAGTTTGTTGGGCCATCTGTTTCGGAGGTAAGTCATCACTGTTCGCACCTCCGGCTCGAAAATTTCGTTCACCGTATAGTGCGCTCCGCGGTTGATTATAATTATATCGGAGTCGGCGACTTCTGGCATGCGCGTCCACTGTAGCTCGCTGAAGTGCCTCGGCGCGCCGAGCCATAGGTGGTCGCTTCGAATGAATAAAATCTTCAGGCCCGGACACACCTGGTCGGCAAACTCGATGGTCCTGCAAAACTCGTGCCGAATTTCCGTGTTGTTGACCCAGTCAACGCAGAATTTCGGCTTTGACTCCTTCACCGCCCAATCAGCCGGCTTTGGAATGTCCCTCAGCATCTGGTTGATAAAAATCCCGAAAAACTGCTCGTTGAGAGAATCTCCCAAGAACAGAATAGTCCGATTCTTGCCGACCCTGCTGCAGAAATCAGTCGGCTGAAACGGCACCCAGGCTTGATCCTGAACGGGCATAGGGCAGCTCCCATGTACCCTCCAATCGTACTTGAGAGTCTCCCGGACTGTCCACCCCTCAGGGTTGCCTCCAGACAGGGCATACTCGTCCGATTTCTTCTGCATGAGCCCTTGCGTTGCGTCCCAATGCCGGTGGTCGCACAGGTTGATGTTTCCCATGTATTCCCAAGGTAACACGCGTGGAGTCGCGTTGTAATCCCACCGGCCTTTCTTCGCAACGCACGCCATCCAATCGTTGAACTCCCGGACCTCCTCCCCGGACCTCAGCTTCGTCCCGATCAGCTTCTGCTTCAGCCCGAACCTGCCACCTGCCGGACCTGCAATGGCTCGGACTGTGTCTCTGGTTACCACCTCACTGGTGTACACATCGTGCGATACCCTATCGATCACATCCCGCACGTGCCACATGTCGCAAGATAATCGGCTGCGCAGCGGCGCGTTCCCATTGGCCGGCTTCGGGTCGGGCTGGGCAGCGCAGAGCAGCAGATAATGCCGAAGCCCGCAAGCCTCTGCGAGCTGCCTGGTCGGCAGGTCTGGATCCGCTGCTACAGATCCTGCCGAGCCTGCTTTCTGGGCGGCACTGCTGGGGTCTAGAACGCCCCGAAGCTCTAGGACAGTGGCATTGGGTGGCATGAACATGACGTGAGCGAGAGCGGAGGTTGATGTGGAGATGAAGAGAGCTGCTCGGTTGAATAGGTCCTTGGCTGGAGGATAGGGGAGAGACGGGAGAGAGGGGAGGAAAGAAGGGGGTGTTAGGAGAAGAACAGGCATGAACATGACGTGAGCGAGAGCAGAGGTTGAAGTGGAAATGAAAAGGACTGCCCTGTTGAAAAGGTCGTTGGCTGCAGGATAGGGAGGGCAGCACGAAGGGAGAGAAGGGGAGAGAGGAGGGAGTGAGGAGCATGGTGTGAGTGAGAGCGGACGTTGATGTGGATATGAAAAGGACCGCCCTGTTGAATAGGTCCTTGGCTGCAGGATAGGGAGGGATGGGAGAGCGGAGGAGGAGGGAAGGGTGGGTTAGAGAGGGTGGCAGTGGGTGGCAGTGGGTGGCAGTGGGTGGCAGTGGGTGGCAGTGGGTGGCATTGGGTGGCAGTGGGTGGCATTGGGTGGCATGAACATGACGTGGACATGAAGAGAATTGCTCGTTTGAATAGGTCTTTAGCTGGGGGGAAGGGGAGGGATGGGGGAGCAGAGAGGGAGGGGAGAGGGTGGAGAAAAGGAGGGGTGGGTTAAAAATAAGGTGACGCATGAACATGAGAGGAGGAGAAAAGGGTGTGCGGACAATGGGAAAGGAAAGGGGGTGGGGGTGAGCGGAAGGGAAAGAAGGGGTGGGGGATAAGGAAAGGGGTACAGGGTTAGGGGATGATAGAGAAAACGGAGGGGAGAAGTGAGAGTGGTGGAATGCGACTGGAGAGTGGTGGAATGGCGGTGTGGGGGAGAGTTGTGCTGTCAAATGTCTGTCTGTTATATGAGCGTTCATTGCTTCGTCCCCAAGAGCTCATCAGTATTTTACTTTGTATATTGTTGATAATCTCCATTAAACACTCATACCTAATCAACACTAGCTGTGTCAAGGAAACGTCAACTGGAGGAGACAGTGGGGTGTGGAAAGGTGGGGTATGGTGGGAGGGGTAGTTGAGGTTCTTTATAATGCTTCTCAATCATATGCTCACCTTCCAAGACATTGAGGTTGTTCTTAAAGAGTACAATCCGGTCCTCTGGATAAAAGAATCTCAGCGCGTCCCTGATATATCCTGCTTCCACCACCCGCGCCGCCACGTCAACACCCACCACCACCACCCAATCCGCCGGCACGCCGCCCTCCAACCCTGCCGCTGACTCAGCACCTGCTGACTCAGCACTTGCTGACTCAGCACCGGCTTCTCGGAAGACTTGGGGGGAATCTCTAGGGAGGAGGTGGTTGGAGCGGAACTGGGTCCACAGGGCCATGCTGGGCTGGCGGCATTGCTGCCGGACGGGTTGGTAGAGCTTTTGCACGAACCACAGGTGGGGTACCCCAGGTTTTACCCCCTGCACTTCGTGGTCTGTTACGGGCAGTTTGAGAACCCTATTGGCCACGGCTGATAGGAGCTGGGTTGGGGGAAGGGTGGGGGGGAGGGGGAAGCGGGAATGGGGAAGGGAGGGGGGGGGAGAGGGAGAGAAAAGGGATGGTGGGTGTTGGTTGGATACAAGGATTGGTTGAGAGGCCGAGAGAGAGTGAAAGAGAGGGAAGAAGAAACTTTCTGAAGGAATTAAGCTAAGAAGTCTAAAAAAATCTCCACCATACATCGTTTTATAACGAGGCTCTTTCTCCTCATAACCTCGCTGTTTCGTCCCTTCAGCATTCCTCTCTGTTTTATTCCCAGCTAAGTCCTCCTTTCTCTCTCTAGCTCCTGGGGAGTGGGGAGTTGATTGCCTTTCACTTATCCAGCAATGATCCCCCTTCCCTCTTCCCTTTCACTCCCAACGACCCCCCTTCTTTGATTCCCCCTCCCTCGTGCTTTGCATTGGATTGCATCCCTCCGTTTCCCATGCCAACTCAACCTCCCCCTTCCCTTCTTCTTTCGTCACTCCCCCTTCCTCCCCCCTCTTTCCCACCCTCCTCTCGCTCTTCCAGCTCCCGCATCCCTCTCCCCCCCTTCCCCCCTCCCCCCCCCCCCCCCCCCCGGCCCTCTTCCCTCGCTTACCTTTCTGCTCCGAGCCACTATGATCGCATCTTGAAGTTTCGGCAGCACCTCCTTAAGCGGCAGCATCATGGGGAGAAGATCCGTCAGCTCGTGGAACACCTCAGCACGAGGATCTGCCACGTCAGATAGAAGGTTCACCACGTCACGGTGCATGGTGACGTGTGTTCCTGCGGGGTAAGAGACCTGCACGTTTAAAAGGAAAAGGGTGGCAGGGAAGGGGAGGGGATGGGGGGGAGTGGGGGTGGCCGGTGTGGTGGAAGGGGTGGAAGAAAGGGAGGAGGGGGGGAAGTTCGTGGTAAGTCAGGTTTTTCTTGAAAGGAGGTGCTGCGTATGGTTCATTTCTGTTGTTCGTTTTATTCTGGCTCATTTGAAACAAACTCATTTCTGTTGTTTTCTCTTGGGTGTTTTAGAAGCTAAACCGGCGAATAGGGAAGAGGGCGGTAGGAGTGGCGCGAGGAAGGACAAAGGAGCAATTAAGAAACGGGGAAAGGAGAGGGGGAGGGGGAGCGGGGAGGGGGAGCGGGAAGGGGATGGGCAGGGGAAATGGGCGTGGGGCGGGGAGACGGAACGGGGTAAGGGGAGGGGATGGGGGAGGATGGGCCAATGACAGGGAGAACCGATACGTCTCGGTAAAAGGAGGTTCAACTTACGTTTAACTCGGTGATGCAGCCAGACGGGTCGAAGAGATGCGTTTCGTTAAACACCTGCCCGCGCCAGTTCACGTAAACGTTTTCCAGCACGAAAACCTGCCCGGCCCATTTCTTCTCCCAGTCTTTAGTCACCCTCATCGTCTCCGTATCGACGGGATCCTGCGGGCCGGGACACCCTGGCCGCAGCAGATCACCTGGCGATTCACCTGAATTCTCCAGGCATAAATCCAGGGGGTTTCCTCTCCCGCGTTTCTGCAGGAGATGCAGCTGCCGCCTCTGTTCCGCGACGGTTCCCGGGCCGCGGAACGGATCCACGTACTGCGGATTCCAGCAGGCTTTAAGCGTCGGGAATCTAACTCCGCAGCCCTTAAATTCCGGGCATTGGCCGCCGTGGCATTTGGCCAGCGTGGCGCCTTCGTCTTCTGGTCGAGGCGTCTGAAACTCGTGGAAATAGTCGAGCGGGACGCGAGTTAAGGAGGTAAGTTGGAGTGGTTGCTCGAGCTGGCGCGAGGCGGTAGGGGTGTAGGCCTTGAGCGATCGCCGCTGCGGGATGGTGTTAGCGCTTCCCGCAAAGGTGACTCTCGTCAAGGATTGGCGGATTCTGGACGACAGAGCCTGCACGAGGCTCTCCCGCGACGCGGCTTCGCCGATCAGAGGCTGACACGTGGCGAAGGCGACGAGCAGCAGGAGAAAGGCGGAGGTGGATTTATGGGAGGAGAACGCCATGATTCAGTTACGGATTCTGAGACGTCTCAGAAATCGAACCTGAGACGTCTCCAGATAGGCAAATACGGATATATCAGTCACGCGTTATTCGCGTTCGCACAAATCGACGGATTGCGAGAAGCAGCTCGTTAACGTCAGCCGGCCTTCCTTAGCTTCCCTGAGCTGCCCGAAAGCCAGACCGCAGAATCATTTTGGCCAACGAGAACGCGTTAATCTAGCCAAACGGCACTGCAGGCAACAGCGGCTGAAATAGCAAGGAAGCTAGAGATGGTTCAAAAGCAGAAGCACCGTGTTTCTGCCGGCCGGACTGGCTACGCCAACCATCAAGCGATTTCGACGGGAACGTAGTGAACACACAGAAATGAAATACCATACAGCTGAGCTCTCAATTCAAGTGAAGACATCGAGGTTGGTTGGTGGATGGAAGTTGGAGAGATGGAGTGTGGGGAGGAAAGCGATGGATGGCTTGGCTGGTTGCAAAGCAAGTGCGGGTGGAAAGGGGGGAGGCGTGTGGCGGCGGGAGGCGGAGGGGGAAGCAGCTGCGGAAATTTGTGGAGAGGAGGTGGGTGAAATGCACGAGCGAATCCCGAGGCTGCATCTCCCACCAGTAACGAGTCAAACCAGGGGGAACGAACCAACCAAACAGCTTGCGCTTCCGCAGGGGCGAAGGTGGAGGGGGTAGGGGGGCTTCCGCGCGCAAGAAGGAGCGCCACAAGTACAGTATACTGTAGTGCTGTACACGATAGGCATTTCGTTTCGAATGAGGCGAATTGGTTCAGCCGTCAACTGTCGGGGCGCGCATCAGGTGCTCTGTCGGCCAGGGACACCTGGCGGACCCTGCGGCGTGAGGTGGAACCTGAGGGTTGCTGACTAGGGTGGGTGAGTGGTACATATGGGCCGTACTGAGGAGCTAAAGATTCGATTTTCGGTATAAGTTCAAAGGATTAAAAAAACATTGTGCATAAATTATTGGTGTGACCTTACTCTCACACTAGTCAAGCCACAACACATGATCAGACAATCAACAAAGTGGTCCTCGAATCAACCTGCATGGTGGACCATGAACATAAGTCCTGCAGAAACAATCCAATAAAACATTGACAACCAAAGAAGGCATATGCAATTTCTCGGTGCTGCCTTGGCAGTAGCGCGCGCTCTCTCCTTGCTGCTGCCAGCCGATGCCTGCTTATTAGCCCTTGGCCAGGGCGAGGTCCCAAGGAGTGAGTCTTTTCCTACCCTCCCTCCTGCCAAACCGCCTGAAAAGGCCCCTGGCATCACACCTGGAGGTGCATAGGAAGCTCGCGACATTAAAACCATGTACAGTTTGCTGCCTCCTGCTTTTTGATGATGGTGATGTGGGTTATATCGAAGCTCACTTCCTTACCCCCTCTGACTACCATAGACAGGCAGATTCCGATCGCTATAATCTCGATCCAGGTCACCTGCTACTGATCCTGTCGCTGAGCTGGCACCAGACGCCCATTTCCGAGGCTTGCGATAGGCTGCTGCTGCCACGTTGGAAAACACAGCAGTGTAACCCACACCACCATCATCCCCACCCTCATCCTCCTCACTATACCCCAACGGACCAGGCATACCAGGCATAGCCCCCCCAATCCCACCCCCTCCCCCTCCTGCTTTCCCTCCTCCTCCCCTCCTTAGCTTGACCGCTGCTTGTGCTGCTACCACTGCTGCTGCCTCTTCAGCTGCAGGTTTCATATCCGAAAACGGCAAGGGAGGAACCACCACGGGCTGAACCCCCACATACCCCCCCATATGCCCACTCCCACTGTCGCCCCGCTCGCTCCCACCCCGGCTCCCGAACGCCCCAGCACGGCCCAACGCCGCCCTGTGTGAATGAGACGGGGAATGCCACCCTCGCGACCCCGAATTCCCCGAAGAATGCGTTGATGAGCTGTACCCAGACGCCCGCCCGTCCTCCTCATCCTCCTCCTCCTCTATCACCCCGAAGCCCTTGGCCGACCGTAGCGAACCCGCCTCAGAACTGCCTATCTGCGACCCAGACCCTGCTAGGCCGTCGTGGTGTTTTCCTAGTCGGTGCCTCTCGGCCCGCTTGGAAGCTGCTAGGTTGGAGAATATCATGGTTATTCCTGCTCCTGAACCTTCCTCGGCTGCGAGGGTTGACTCGAAGGGCAGGAGCGGTGCCTGGGGGTGGAATGCGGTTCCAGCTGCTACAGCAGCTGCTGCGGCGGCGGCAGCAGCAGGAGATGTTGTAGCAGTTGCGGCAGCAGCAGGTGCAGGGGTAGCAGAGGGAGCGGTGGGAGGTGAGAGGGGACCTGGGTCGTTTTTGTGAGAGTGGTGCTTGGATCCCCATTTGAACGCATGAGCCAGCATGCCTCCCACTCCCTGCCGCTTCTTCTTTCCACCTGCCTCCTCTACTCCACCAACACCACCAGCAGCAGCATCAGCACCACCACCAGCACCAGCACCACCAGCAGCAGCAGCAGAAGCAGCAGCAGCATCAGCATCAGCACTGATTTCATACCTATGGCCTGCATCCCCGTCTATACTCGACTGTGTCGAGCTAGCAGCCAGAGACGCCCGTTCCAAAGCCTCTTCCAGCGACAAATTCTGAGGCGCCTCAGAAGCCTTTCGAGGCGCCTCAAACTCCCTTCGAGGCGCCTCAAAGCTCGACCGAGTCGAGGTAGCCGTCAGAGACGCCCGCTCCAACGCCTCCTCCAGCGACTCGCACGGCAGGCCGAACGTGGTAACCATCCCGTAACCGTACTCGCCAACGCTCGACGCGTTACTTTTACCAATAGAACTGCTCCAAGTGCTGGTTGAAACTGCAGAGGCGCCGTAGGGGTGGATGACAGAGCTAGAGGCGTTGGTGGTGGTGGTGGCGAGAGAGGCGTTGGAGGGGGGGATGGTGGTGCAGCTTTCAGTGGAAGAAGGGATGACTGTGCTGCTTCCCTTGGGGTCTGCTGATGAGTTCTTACACGGGGTGAAGCTTGCAGGGGGGATCTGATGATGAGCCCAGGTGCCAGGAGGAGGGATGGTGGTGCAGCTTTCAGTGGAAGACGGGATGACTGTGGTGCTTCCCTTGGGGTCGGGGCCTTTACATGGGTTGAAGCTTGCTGGGGGAATGTGATGATGAGCCCAGGTCCCAGGAAGTGGGGCGATCCCGGGCGCAGGCAGCTTCTGGGGCGCCTCAGAAGTGCCTTTTGATGGGGTGAAACCTGCTGGGGGAAATTGATGCTGTGGCCAGTTCCCAGCAAGGGGGGCGATACCAGGCGGGCGATTAAGAGGGTTCGGGACAGCAGGGTGGGGAATGGCAGGGTGGGGGACGGCAGGGTGAGGGATGGAAGGATGGGGAATGGCAGGATGGGGAGTGGCATCCGCAGCAGCATCAGCAGCAGCATTAGCAGCACGAGAAGCAACAGCAGCACCAGCAACAGGAGCAGCACTAGCAGCCACAGCACCAGCAGCAGCAGCAGTAGCACCACCAGCACCAGCAGCAGCACCAGCAGCAGCAGCAGCCCGAGCAATAGCATCGTCCAGGCTCTCATCCGCCTTCCCCACCCCCGCCACTTCCTCGCACACCCCCCTCACTGCCGCCCCCATGCCCGCATCACCCCCCCTCACTGCCGCCTCCATGCCCGCATCACCCCCCCTCCCCATGGCCGCATCACCCTGCTTCATTACCGCCCCCATGCCCGCTAAGGAACTACCATGAGCAGAGGGGGCATAGGGCATACCTCCTGACTGGGAGGTAATGCCTGCTCGGGACGAAGCAGCATCAGCCAGGCCAGCAGCGCGAGCAATGGAGTCTTCTAAGCTCTCTCCCGCCTTCCCCATGTTAGCCCGCACCTCCTGCATCTCCCGCACTGCTGTATCCAAAGAGACCTCCCTCCTCATGGCCCAACCCGCAGAACCAGAAGAACCACCACCCGAACCAGCAGCCACAGCAGGCGCAGCAGCCACAGCAGGAGCAGCAGCAGGCGCGCGGGCACCCCCACCTGCTCCTCTCTCCCCCCCACACCCAGCCCCAGACGCGTTCCCGGCACAGGCGACGGTGGCAGCAGCAGCAGCGCGGGCAATGGCCTCGTCCAGCGATTCTGTCGGTCGGCTGAGGTTGGAGAACTGCCTAGTCACGCCCGTACAGGCACTCCCCTGCGAGCCTGCATACCCTCCCCCAGACGCCCCCACAGAGCTCATTGTTCCTCCTAAGCTTAGAAGGCCAGAGTCCATAAACGAGTTCCCATCGTAGCGATAGTCGTCTGGGAACTCGGGGTCTGGGTCAAGATTGGCTGGTGCTGGGGCTGCGGCAGCATCAGGCACTCCAGAGGCAGGCGCAGCAGGAGCAGCGGGAGCAGTAGCAGGCGCGCGGGCACCCCCACCTGCCCCTCTTAACCCCCCACACCCAGCGCCCGAAGCGTTCCCAGCACAGGTGGTGGCAGCAGCAGCAGCAGCGCGAGCAATGGCCTCATCTAAAGACTCTGTGGGGCGGCTGAGGTTGGAGAACTGCCGAGTCACGCCCGTACAGACACTCCCCTGCGAGCCTAACAGGCCAGAGTCCATAAACGAGTTCCCATCGTATCGATAGTCGTCTGGGAACTCGGGGTCTGGGTCAAGATCGGCTGGTGCTGGGTTGAGCTGTGCGTATGGTGAGTGGGGTTCTGGGTTGGCGGGTTGCTGGTGAGGGGAGGGAGCGGCAACAACAGCATTGGCAGCATTACCAGCACCAGCGGTAGTAGCAGCAGCAGCAGCGGCAGCGGCGGCGGCGGCCGCAGCGCGGGCAATGGCGTCTTCCAGGCTCTCGTCAGGCCGACCCAAGCTAGCTAGCTCCTCTTTCATCCGCCTCACGGCTGCATCCAGTCGCGGGTCTGACTCGCCCGTCCCTGCTTCTTGCGACCTTGCAGTATCAGCGTTGGGAAAAGAGCGACCAGCACCACCAGCACTACCACCACCAGCAGCAGCAGAGCTAATAGCACCAGCAGCACTACCGCTGCAACCAGCAGCAGCAGCAGCGCGGGCAATGGCGTCTTCGAGGCTCTCATCCGCCTGACCTAAGCTAGCTAACTCCTCTTTCATCCGCCTCACGGCTGCTTCCATGCGCGGGTCGTTGCTCCCATCCCCACTCTCTCCAGCCCCACGCGAACTCCCAGAAGCATAAGAGCGAGCACCAGAAGCAGCAGCGCCACCAGCACCACGACCAGCACTATCAGCACTACCAGCAGCGGCAGCAGCGCGGGCAATGGCGTCGTCAAGGCTCTCATCGGTATGACCCAAGCTAGCCAGCTCCTCTGCCATCCGCCTCACGGCTGCATCCATGCGCGGGTCACCCCCACTGCCCCCACCCCCGCTATCTCCAGCCCCGCGCGAACTCCCAGAAGCGTGAGAGCGAGCACTAGAAGCAGCAGCACCACCGGCACCACGACCAGCACTATCAGCACTACCGGCAGCGGCAGCAGCGCGGGCAATGGCGTCGTCTAGGCTCTCATCCGCCTGGCCTAACCCAGCCAGCTCCACTGCTATCTGCCTCACGGCTGCATCACTGCTCCCACCCTTACTGCCCCCACCCCTATTGTCGCCAGAGTCAGCAACGCCAGCACCAGAACCAGCAGCACCAGCGTCAGCAGCGCCAGCCGCGCCAGCAGCCCGCGCGATAGCGTCGTCCAGGCTCTCATCCGCCTTCCCCATCCCCGCCAGCTCCTCGCGCATCCTTCTCACGGCCGCATCCATGAAATCGTCAGACTTGCCAGCGGATAACGCGCCAGCGCCACGAGAACCTTCAGTCGCGTGAGCGTTACCCGCAGGCGCGCGGGAAGACCCCGCGAATGGCGCGCAGGCGTCGCGCGCGGATGGCGCGCAGGAATTTCCCGCGGAACCTGCGTTAGCAGCCCGCGCAATGGCTTCGTCCAGGCTCTCGTCCGCCTTCCCCATCGACGCGAGCTCGACTCTCATACGCTGAATCGCGGCGTCCATAAACGCGTCATTCCTGCCTCCGCGAGAGGCCACCGTCTGGTCTGGCACGGAGCTGTGGCTCGTTTCCGAAGCTGCCTCCGTGGCTCGGGCGAGTGCGTCTTCCAGAGACATGGACGGCGTGGCCATGAGCGAAAAATCCGAGGTAACCCCCCCGCCTAAAGACTCCATCTCCATTATCGAATTCCCGTCGTATCGGTAATCCTCGGGAAACTCGGGGTCAGGGTCAGGGTCGGGGTCGACCTGAGCAGCAGTTGACGGGGAGGAGCGGGCAAAGGTGGGAACCAGGGCCGCGAAAGGTCTGGCGAAGCGAGATCCTAACGAGGTTCCTCGCGATGAGGAGGAGGTTTGGATGGGTGACGAGGTGTTGGGATGTTCCGCTGAGTTGGTCAATGACTTGGTGCCAGACGCTTTGTTGCTTGGACCGTTGATGCTCAAGTTACTGCTGTTAGGCTTGCTAGTGCTTGGTTTGCCGCTGCTCAGATTGTTGCTGTTAGGATTGCTGCTGCCAGGTTTCTTCTCAGATGCTGGCATAGGGATACGCGCTAACGCGTCTTCTAGCGATTCTATTGGCCTTCCGTATCGGCCTTGTAGTTCCGCTGCCATAGCTTTGCGAGAATGGCTGGCAGAGGACATTGGAGGTCTAGAATCAATCGAGGTATTGGGATCCTTTTTTAGGATTTACAGCCCTAGTACCACTCGCTCGATGAGCTTTAGTGCGTGACCATTCGTCGTAATGTAAAAGCAAAAGGTTCTACCACTTCGCTGAGATTACGAATCAAGAACGAGAAGTTAGGACACACTGCCGTGGTGTGAAGGGTAAATGAAGCCTTTTCCTGAAACAATCACGCATGCTACGCTGGACAAGAAAATACTGAACGCTCGCTGTCTGGTTTACGCAAGGGAGAATGATGCAACTAAAAGCAAGCTAGTCATTGAAGATAACAACTCTACGTTTGACTGAAGTGACCAGAGCATTACCTTGTCAGAAGACGAACCTGATTGGTCCAGACGTTCTCAATGACAATCCCAATGGTTCTTGCAACCACCTGATTCCTGAAACCACTTTTGACGAATGCAAGGATGACAATCAAAGGGGCTTTCAGGGGGAAGATCGGGGACCAGGGGGATTGGGGGCGGGGGGGTAATTTGGGGGAACAGAGGGGAGAGGGTGGGGGGTGTCTGGGAACTTGGGAATAGCGGGAATGTTCCCGCGTGCATCGCGTAACCAGTAAAGATTCGCGGAGCTGGCTTGACAATGCGCCAGAGCTTGCTGGGGGGAAGGTGGTCAGTTTTGCCTACCTCCGGGTTCGAACCTGAAGTGTGAAACCAGTCACGGCAACAGCCGAGCCAACCTGGGCGGTCTGCTGGAATTCGTTCAACTGGACCCGAAATCGTAGGTTACGGGGTCCGTACCAAGTGCCCCTATTTCCCCGAAGCACGTTTCCCCGAGCCAAACGTGAGGGGCGTGTCGCACGTTGCAAGGCGATTACTGCTGGATCTCGGCGGTACGTAGGTTCGTCGCATGACAGGTGTGCTTTTCCATGCGACGCCACGACGTCGAAGTGAGAAATCGTACTAGCTGTTTCATTCGTTGGCGAATTGCGTGCCACCAGCTAACGATGTTGTCCGGTTTGGTGACGGTGACTCGGGGGCTACCGAAAGTCAACGGAGTCTGGTCTGGACCACGCACTTCGGGGATGGCATCCCAGCCATACTTGGCGTGCACCCCTTACAAAGGTGACTTGCGCAGTTCCGTCGCCTACACTGCAGGAGAACGAGTAGTTAAACAATCATGGAAATGTATAACTGTCTACAAATTCTTGAGCTACTTCAGCACATATGAGCGATGCATCAATGCTGTATGAACATGGTCCGATTTCCATGCTCTGAGCACCATTTGTACAGATCGAATAAAATAACAATTTCATGTTGACATTTTACTACATGGTTGAGTCCTCCAATCCAACCCGAGACTTTGGCGGGGATGGGAGTGTCGTCCTCCAATCAAGACTTAGGAATGTCAGCAGGGTAATTGACCCTGAAGTTAGGGTAATTAGAGGTGTGGCTCTGATTATGCTTTCCAAGCGGGGCGTCCAGCCCCATAGCTGCACGATACTCCACCTGAAGCCAGAAAATGCAATCCAAACATGCCCATGCCATCATACAACACAACATGTCCAATTGCCATAACCATAACAAACACCAGAAGTAACACATTTTCAATCTTGGTGCAAGAAACTGCGGAAAGGCATGCCCATGATGCAACACCTTATAAAGCGTACACAACACTAGATTGACTTTACCTCCTTGATGCATGATCCAACAATGTTGGGCAGGGATTTACGCAGAAGCCAGTAATTACCTCAATCGGTCTTCCTTTCACATCAGTGATTTTTGGGTCCATGTATTGAGGCTGCTGCTTCATTAGCGCTTCCCGAAGAGGAGCCAAATCAACTGTTGTCGGGACTCCATCTGGACAGGTGAGGATGTTTATAATGAAGATGAACCTTAGTGAGAGAACAAGGTGTTGCATTGGAATCCCAGAGAAACACAGCGTACTAATATGCATGTTAGAAAAACAGGCGCACCTGATAGCAAAAGCCGCCCATTGACCCACACTGTCGAGTCGACTCAAAAGTCACAAAGTCGTTTTTGGACTCAAAAGTCACTTCTAGATGCATGTTAGAGAAAAAAGCGCACCTGATAGCAAAAGCCGCCCGTTGACCCACACCGAATGCACCGTGTTTCCTGCAATGCCAGAACTGGAAAACAGAAGCAGCAAGAGGGAGGGGCAGGGGGAGAGGGAGGGTGGGGCCAAGGGGGAACGAGAGGCAGCACAGGGTCGGCTGTAGGCAGCACAGGGCCGGCTGTAGGCAGCATGGAGAGAGTAGTCAAAGCGACCAACACAGCATCCGCCACATAGCCATGCTTGATCGCCCTTCTCAGTATCCCCTCCTTCCCACTGCCCACCCTTCCCACTGCCCTCCTCTTTTACCTTTGCCGGGTGAGCACCAGTTGACCCACAGGGTCGGCTCGAGGCAGCATGGAGAGAGCAGTCAGGTCGACCAGCACTGCATCCGCCATGTATCCAGGCTTGATTTGACCCGCCTGCCCTCTCATGCCCACTGCTGCCGCGCCTCCCTCTGCTGCCATTTTGAGCACCTCCCTTGGCGATAACCAGTGGCGATACTCGGGGGTTGTGAGCTGCGAGGTGAGATGACATCCGGGGAAGGAGAGGAAAGGAGAGGAAGGAGAGGAGGGAGATGGGATGAAGGCAGTGGATGGAAGGCAAAGAGCCTCTCTCGCTCTGATCGCCCCTGCCCGCCCTCTCATGCCCACTGCTGCCGCGCCTCCCTCTGCTGCCATTTTGAGCACCTCCCTTGGAGACAACCAGTGGCGTTACTCGAGTGTTGTGAGCTGGGGCATTAGGGAAGGAGAGGAAAGGAAAAAGGACCGTGCTTGCTTATAATAGCATACATATATTCTCCATACACGTATGTGTATGTGTTTAAATTGGTGTATAGATATATCTGCACATGCATGTACAATGCACGCTCTGTCACTCACAGGATTGACAATACAAGGGTGGCAGGGGTGGCGATACACGCCATCTTCATGGCTTCCAGCATGTCCTGGGAGTCGTTCGAGCACTGCCCATCAGTATGTGTGTCGGTATGTGGTCTACCTGCCTGTCAGTTTTTCGGTCTACCTGCCTGTCAGTTTTCCGGTCTACCTGCCTGTCAGTATGCCTGCGCACACAGATACTCACCGGATTCACAACACACGCCATCTCCACGGCTTCCAGCATGTCCTGGGAGTCGTTCGAGCACTGCCCATCAGTATGTGTGTCGGTATGTGGTCCATATGCCTGTCAGTCTGCCTGCACACGCAGTTACTCACAGGGTTGACGATACACGTCATCTTCACTGCTTCCAGCATGTCCCGAGAGTCGTTAGTTAGAGCACTGCTCATCACACCCAATAGCTTGCAACAAGCATCGCCACCCCTGCCTATCTGGCTGTAAACATGCGTACACACATACTCACCGGACTCACAATACACGCCATCTTCACGGCTTCCAGCATGTCCTGGGAGTCATTCAAACAAACATTACCGGTATGTGTGTCAGCGTGAGGTCTACCTGCCTGTCAGTCTGCCTGCAGACACTCACGGGATTCACAATACACGCCATCTTCATGGCCTCCAGCATGTCTTGAGAGTCGTTCGAGCACTGCCCATCACACCCGATAGCCACGGTAATGCCCTTATCGAGGTATGCTCTTATGGGAGCAACGCCCGAGCCGAGGCGCAGGTTGGAGACCGGGTTGTGAACCGCCACTGCCCCGCACTCCGCCATGATCGCTTGCTCGTCATCTTCCTGCAAAAAGAGGTACGGAACGCGGGGAGGAAACTGAATGGAAGCAGGTATATGGAATGTGCTGCAGACACATGGAAGCTGGGATGGGAGCAACGCCCGAGCCGAGGCGGAGGTTGGAGACCGGGTTGTGAACCGCCACTGCCCTGCACTCCGCCATGATCGCTTGCTCCTCGTCCTCCTGGGGATGGGGTGTGGAACTGAAACGGGAATAAGAGAAAAAAGAGAAAGCACTTCCATGGGAATGCAAGTGAACGCAAAAGCCACACACACTGTGCAAGTCACACACACCACCCCACTCACCAGACACACGCAATGAGCACACGAGGTCGCCGGGAGGGACAACCACCCGATGTGAGGGGCACAGGGCACACACAAGGCACAGGGCACACACAAGGCACAGGGCACACACAAGGCATCGGTCTGTGATGCCCCCACCAGCTCACCAGCCACACGCAGTGAGCACAGGAGGTCCCTGGGAGGGACAACCACCCGATGTCTTTCAGTAGTTTCACACACCGCACAGTGCACATACCAGCATACAAACAGGCACACTATTTATGTATCTGTGATGCTCACACTAGCTCACCAGCCACACGCAGTGAGCACACGAGGTCCCAGGGAGGGACAGCCACCCGATGTCTTTGAGAAGCTTCACACACCCGCCGTCCGGGTAGCGCGATCGGCTCTGGAGCCTGATGGTTCGGGAAAGGGGAAGTGGGAGATATGAGTGACTTTTGCATCCATCCGTGTCCCAGGGAGGGACAGCCACCCGATGTCTTTCAGTAGTTTCACACACCCGCCATCTGGGTAGCGTGACCGGCTCTGCAGCCTGAGTGTTGGGGGCGGGGCAGAAGAAGGAGAAAATTATCGGCGAAGATAAAAAGGAGGTGCAGGGTAGGAAGAAGAAGAAACGGAGGAAGGAAGGAGTGTGCTTGGTGTGTGCAGGACACTGCTGCTCACTGCTTTCCTTTGCACCAATGACTCGAGAAAGTGAATGTGACCGCACAGGCAAAACTCCTTGCTTCTATCATGCATGCTGGGTGTGTGTGGGAGACATGCTCACTGCTCACTGCTTACTAGGTGACTTTGCATGCTCACTGCTTACTATGTGACTTTGCATGCTCACTGCTTACTAGGTGACTTTTAAGTCGACTCAAAAGTCACCTTGCATGCAGGGTGTGTGTGAGAGACATGCTCTCTGCTCACTGCTTACTGCTAAGTGGTCACTTCTGCATGCGTGACTCGAGCAAATGGATATGACCGCACAGCCCAAACTCCTATTTAGTGTAGGTATGCGTGGTGTGTGCAGGATACTGTTGCTTTTTGCTCACTGCTTACTTTTGCATGCGTGACTCGAGCAAGTGAATATGACCGCATAGCCCAAACTCCTTTCGAATGTCCACAGATCTCCGAATTAGCTCGTCCTGGGGAGATGAGAGGAGAGGAGAGAAGAGAGGAGAGAAGAGATGCGGCACTGATAACACAAGTCAATGCAAGTCAATAAGTCAACGCCAGTCAACTCACAGAAGCACCCCAGTCAACGCCAGTCAACTCACAGAAGCAGTCAACGCCAGTCAACTCACAGAAGCACCCCAGTCAACGCCAGTCAACTCACAGAAGCACCCCAGTCAACGCCAGCCAACTCACAGAAGCACCCCAGCCAACGCCAGTCAACTCATAGAAGCACCCCAGTCAACGCCAGTCAACTCACAGAAGCACCCCAGTCAACGCCAGTCAACTCACAGAAGCACCCCAGTCAACGCCAGCCAACTCACAGAAGCACCCCAGTCAACGCCAGTCAACTCATAGAAGCACCGCAGTCAACGCCAGTCAACTCACAGAAGCACCCCAGTCAACGCCAGTCAACTCACAGAAGCACCCCAGTCAACGCCAGTCAACTCACAGAAGCACCCCAGTTCTGCACGGGACCAATCACAATGTTGATGCCGCCCTCTGGATCGTGAAACTTCTCCGCAGCTTCCCTCCACAGGGCAAGAACCCTCTCGGTATTGGCCTCCTGTGGGGGACAAGGAAGGAGGGGAGGAGGAGAGGAGGAGGAGGGGAGTGAGGGAGGAGGAGAGGAGAGGAGGAGGTTTGGAGGTGGGAGAGTGAGGGAGAGACATGGATGGGGGCTTGCAAAATGACCTTTGAGTCGGTTCAAAAGTCACCCGACTTAGACCCACCTGCCGCTCTGCCAGTTGCTCTCTGAAAAGCCCATCGCTCCCCATGGCCCCCGGGCAGGTCCCTTCCTCCCTCGCCCTCTCGTTGCGCTCACAGGCATCCGGCACCAAGGGGAAGTAGTTCTGATGTGGACAGGGGACGGGAGGAATGGTTGGAGCAGGAACATGGGAGAGGGGAAGACGCGACTGCTAAACAAAAATGACTTTTGAGAAATTTCAAAAGTCACACAAATATTGCTAAACAAAAAATGACGTGGTAGAGGAGGCAATAGAATGGAAAGAAAGCATGGGAGGAGTTTTGAGATATTTGAACAGGAGGGAAGCAGAGGAAACGAGATAGGGAGAAAACGAGAAAGGAAGTAGGGGACAAAAAGGGCAAGGGAGGAAGAGAAAAAGGGGAGTAAGGTAGAAAGAGAGAAGGGAAAGGAAGGGAGAGATACTTACAGAGACGTCTAAATCGCCAAGCATCCTGAAGAACACAGGGGACAAAGTGAGAGAAGGAAAGGAGGGAAACGACAATGAAGACCGAATAAATGTGACTTCAATGCGCGAGCCAAGTATCTTGCGAGTGACGGGACGCAGAAGTGAGTGGAATGCAGTAGGGACGCACGGGGAAATGAAGGCTCGGATTCCGACTTGCTTTTATGCAAAGCAAAGTGCAAGGTTATGATAGGGGGGAGAATTGGGGGGTAGGATAGGGGTGAAGGAACAGTGTGGGGGGGTGTGGAATGTGGGTGGCACGCACGGGGCAATAAAGGCTCTGATTCCGACTTGCTTGTATGCCCTCACTGCTGCCTCGAGGTCTGATAGGTCTCGGATGTACCTGCGGGGATGAAGGGGAAGATTGAAGTGGGAACATAGGGGCGTTGGGGTTGGAATGGGGGAGAACGAAGGGAAGGGAAATGGGAGTGACATATTTGACACAAGATGGTGATGTTTTGTGTCATCCCTAAGAGTTGCTGCCACGTACTGAAACCATGGGACCTACTTGGTGCTCGATTGGGGGTGACATATTTGCCAGAGGATGTGGTAAAGAGACAAAGATACGGAAAAACAATTGAAGTCGAGATTGTAATATGATGGAGAGGTGTCAGAGAGATGTTCGAGAGGTGCGGAGAGGCGGTAATGGTAATGGTAGTGTTGTAATGAGAAACGGTAATGGTAGGGGTAGTGGTAGTGGTAATGGTAATGGTAATGGTAATGATAGTTATAATGGCAATGGTAATAGTAGTGGTAATGGTAGTGGTAATGGTAATGGTAATGATAATGGTAATGGTAATGGTAATGATAATGGTAGTGGTAGAATAATAATGCGAATGGTAATGGTAATGGTTGAGATGATGCTAATGGTAATGGTAATGATTTTGGTAGTGGTAATGGTAATGGTAATGGTAGTGGTAATGGTAGTGGTAGTGGTAATGGTAATGGTAATGGTAATGTAACGATAGTGATAATGGTAATGGTAGTGGTAATGGTAGTGGTAGTGGTAATGGTAATGGTAATGGTAGTGGTAATGGTAATGATAATGGTAATGATAATGGTAATGGTAATGGTAATGGTAATGGAAATAGTAAACGTGGAACAGCAGAGGGTGGAGAGTGGTAGGGAGGGGTGGAGAGGGGTACGGAGGCATACTCACAGGTGATCCATCACGGCCGTGCCTCCAGTCAAGATGGTCTCTACTGCCGTGTGCAGGGCTGCCCAATACACCTGGTGGTGGTGTGCGGTGAAGTGCGGTGGGATGTGGTATGGTGGGGTGTAGTACAGTGTGATGGAGTGTGGTGAGGTGGGATCAAGTTATATAGGTGTGGTGTGGTACGATGACAGATTGGGTGACATAACTCCGCCCCTCACCCTCACCACACCACACCTCTCTCATCCTCCCCTCCCTTCCCCTCTCCTCAGTGCACCCCTCTCCCCCTCTTCTCAAGTTTTGAGGCGCCTCAAAACTGCACCCCTCTCCCCCTCTCCTCAGCGCACCCCTCCCCTCCCCTCCCCTCAAAGCACCCGTCCCCTTCCCTCAGTGTAACCATCCTCTCCCCTCCCCTCCCTTCATCGCACCCCTTCACTCCTCTCTCACCACATCCGGGGAAATCGAGGGGTTGGGTCCTCGGGGGTCCATGTGGGTAAAAAGCGAATTCACCCACAGCTCCAGGGGCTGGAATGAATGGTACGAGGGAGGGAGTGGGTGCAAGCAAAGAGAGAGAGAAAGTGGAGGAAAGGCAAGTGAACTACGAGGGAAGTCAAGGAGCAGAGCGCCTGAGAGAATGAAAGGCATACAATGTGAGTGGTGCATCGGGCATATCAGAAAAAGAAAAAAACAGAAAAAAAACAACAAAACAAAACCAGACAAAACAAAACTCGAACAAGAGAATACAGAAGCTCTACAAGTACGTATAATGATCTGTGTACAGAATTGATGTAAAAATGCAGGCGTTTCATCTCACCAGCGGCACAATCACCCCTCGTTTCATCTCACCAGCGGCACAATCCCCCCTCGTTTCATCTCACCAGTGGCACAATCCCCCCTCGTTTCATCTCACCAGTGGCACAATCCCCCCTCGGCCCCATGCCTCTATGCTGTGCGTGTATGCGTTGACCATCCCTGGCAGCAGCTGAGTTACAGAGAGCAGGGGAAGGGGAGGAGGGTAGCAGGAGGGTAGCAGGAGGGTAGCAGGAGCAGGAAGAGGAGGAGGGAGGAGGGAGACACAAAAATTTGGGAATAGAGGTTGTACAGTAGCAGAGGGAGGGTCTATGGACACTGTAGCAAAGGCGATATCGTCGCAGGGAGGGATGTTGATTGAAAAGACGTACCATCTTATTGGTTCCGTCTATAACGTGTACATCCCTGTCACCTGCACCTGCTGCTGCATCACCAGCTTCGGCAGCAGCAGCAGCATCAGCATCAGCAGTACTGTCAGCACCACCATCACCATCAGCGGCAGCAGCAGCGGCATGAGTGACGGCGTGGGGTGTGATGGGGGACGTGCGGACCACTGACTCTATCACTCCGCGAGACATGCGCACAGTGAAGCGCGCGTAGCTGGGATAGGGGAGGGGGAACGGAAGAAAATGGGGGAGGGGGGTGTGATGGGGGACGTGCGGACCACTGACTCTATCACTCCGCGAGACATGCGCACACTAAAACGCGCGTACCTGGGGGGAAGGGGATGGGGGAGGGGAGTGGAGAGGGGAAGGGGGAGGGAGCACGAGTATAATGCACGGAAGCAAGCAAGCAAGGGGACGAGGAGACGGCGTGGGAAATAGCTGCATGAGGGACCAGTCACGCGACTAGACGGCGTGGGAAGTAGCAGCTTAAGGGACCACTCACGCGACTAATGCCGAGCCTACCCGTTCATGGGATTCCCGTCTTCGTTCACGTCCACTGGCATTAGCACGTTCGTTATGAGGTAATCCACGTCGGCCGCCTGCTGCGCCGGCGATACCGCCGCTGGCGCCGCCATTTAACTGACAGACACGGAGGCGCGAGGCTGGCGCTAATAGAATGTATGTTTCCGATATAACGAAGCGCTAGCTCGTTTACTAGCCTTCTCGGATCAACAAATTTAGGAAGGGGGAGTTCCCAAAGCAAGCAACGAATTGTTCTCGATATCAGATGTAGCGTTATCACTTACAAACCTAATTTCAGAAGCTGCATTTCCGAAACACTGTACAGCTCTGATTCTCACGACAAAATGAATGATTTCCCCTGTGTACACCCAGAAACCCGAAACAAAATCGTACGTTACAAAAGAAATACATTTCGAGCGAAATGGAACAAGTTTTTCTCGAGTTTTGCTAGGGCGCGCGCGCACTTCAGTCGCTTCCGCCATTTCCATTCCTTCCGCCCCGCGCTCACTCCGCCGCGCTTCCCGCCATTGCTGTTCTCGCCGTTGTCGCGTGTCGCGCCGGATTTTCGCGAAGATGGTGTTTAAGGGGAAGCCGACGTTCGATGTAACGCCGCCGGACGATTTCGACCCGAAGAACCCGTACGCGGATCCAGTGGCGATGCTCGAGCATCGCGAATGGCTGGTTCGCGAAAAGATGGTCGCGATCGAGCGTGCGAAGCTGCTTCGCGAACAGTTGAAGCAGTGTTACCGCACCGAGGGGGTGAATCATATTAAGAACTGCAGCGAGCTGGTGCAAAAATACCTGTCGTCGATTAAGAACGTCGGGTGGGGTAAGGACACGCGGATCCACAGGCTCTATAGCGAAACCGCGGAGCAGAGCTGATCTTGTAACGGGACGACCTTGTAACGAGACTATGTTGAGATACGGTGAGTAATGGTTTGGGTACGACGCTGCTATGAGGAGGAGGAGAGGGGGAGAGAGGAGGAGGTGGTAGGACGGGCGGAATGGGCGTATATGTGGTTATGGGGCAATGGGGGAACGGGGGGTCTAGCAGGAAACCTCTGGGTCGAGTTAAGAGTAGAGAGCTAGGAGATGCGTGCAGGGAAGGGAGGGATGAGGCAAGATACGGACAAGAGGAAGGGTAGAGAGTGCGGAGCGTGTAATGTGGCTGTAGAAGCGGGAATACCATGAAAGGAATATACTGGATAGTGATAAGGGCGAGACATAATGGGGCAGAAGGGGACTGCGGGGTGTGTCATTCACGGATGGAATGACGTCTGAGGTGTCACATGAAATGACACCCATACTTGAAGCGACACACCATACACGAAACGACACCTCGGGGTGTCTCTTACAAGGTATCATGCATCAGGTGCAAGTCCATGCATATGATCACATCATGCTAGATGAATTTGCCCTTTGATGTGACTCAAAAGCCAAGCATCAGGTGCAAGTCCATGCATATGGTCACATGATACTAGATAAATATGGCCACTGGTTGAGATGTTGGTGAGCCTGGAGTGGAGCTTTCACATCCCATGCATTGCACATGTCTAATGCTTGCATACCCACATGATAAAAGTAGTGTTTTGAGACGTCTCATAAGAATAAATATGGCCACTGGTTGGGGTGTTGGTGAGTCTGGAGTGGACCTTGCACATCCCATGCACTGCACTCACATGTCTATTTTTGAGACGTCTCACAAGACTGAGGCATCTCAAAACTGGAGTGGAGCTTGCACATCCCATGCACTCACACGTCTAATGCTTGCATACCTCCCATCTTCCCATTTCATGTTTGATTTCAGGAGCTGCACAGGAGAGCAGACAATGCAGGTGCTGAGACTGATTACTCCTGCCGTACGTTACGTCACATTGCATGCCTATTGATACTCTCAACCAGGCGTGGTTCTCTAATTCATATTCGTTTGTACTGACCGGCTCCGTCTACAGTGCATGTCTTTATGTACCTAGCGCATTGATACCTAAAGCGATATGGTTAGATAGGTACATTCCAAGTCGAGTGATGCGTTTGCACAACCATCGTCGCAGTGGGTGCGCTATTGCTTCCCAAAACGCCTCAGGTTTTGCCGTTATTGTACAATACACTGCTGGAAACAGCTTGTCCGATAGGCAACAGAAAGACTACAAGCTTGCCTACAAAAACCATTTTTCGTTTATCATGTCTCAGCTTCAGCAGCAGGCATCCATCACACCCAGACAGTCACACACTCACTCACTCCTGCCTGCCGCGGCTGCTCTATCACCCCCCTACAGCACCTTCCCTACGAAGGAACCTGAACTCAGCAGCCCTCAAGAAAATGTGGGTTTGCGCCTGGTCCAGGAAGCATCATGCGACTGGGTCCCCCTCACACTCACACTCCTGCCCTCTGCCCTCTTGAATCTGAACACCCTAAACAGCTGCATCAACGTGCCCACCACTCAGGGGAATGCAGGTTTGCGCCTGGTCCAGGAAGCATCATGCGACTGGGTCTCCCTCACACTCAGCTGCATGCTCCTGCTGTCTGCTTTCTTGAGCCGCAACGCACACAATCAGCTTTCCCACCACTCTGCACTTAGAGGAATGCAGGTTTGCGCCTGGTCCAGGAAGCATCATGTGGCTGGGTCTCCCTCACACTCAGCCGCACACTCCTACTCTCCGCCCTCCTGAACCTAAACACCCCAAGCAGCTGCTTCAACGAGCCCACCTCTCAGGGGAATGGGGGTTTGCGCCTGGCCCAGGAAGGGTCATGGGACTGGGTCTCTCTCACATTCAGCCGCACACTCTTACTGTCCGCCCTCTTGAATCTAAACACCCCAAGCAGCTGCTTCAACGTGCTCCTCCCTCCTCCCCCTCCCCCACCTCCCTCTCCCCCTCCCCCCCCTCCCTCTCCCCCTCCTCCTCCCCCGCCTCCGCCCCTTTCCCCGCTTCCAGGCCGGCGGCTGTGACTATGGGGAACGTGACTCAAATGATCCTCGTTCCCCAAGTCCCACTCCTTAGGGAACTCACTCTCTCCTCCGTACGACCTGGAAAGGTCAATCAACCCGTCCCTCTGATTGCGCTCGTATTCATTCCGAGTCCGCTCAAAAGTGATCGCGTGCCCCTGATTCTGCCCCAGGTGGTTTCCGTTGACCTGGTGCAAGTTGTGCTGAGGCTGTAGGTTGTGCTGCTGCTGCTGCTGCTGCTGCTGCTGCTGCTGCTGCTGCTGCTGGGTCTGCTGGTGGTGGGCGCTGTCATTGCTACAAACAGAGACATCCAAACTCGATGTATCAACACACAGCACACGCTCAACGCACACCAGCGCTGCTGGTTCAGAGCATGTTCGCTTCACCTCCACACTCTCCCTGTTCCCCCTGGCCCTTTGTCCGATGGTGCTACTGCGGATCCCTTGATTTTCCTCTGCCGCTGCCGCCGCCGCCGCTGCTGCTGCTGCTGCTGCGGCTGCTGCTGCTGACGATGGTGATGCTGATGCTGATGGTGATGTGGATGGAACAGAACCTGCAGTTGCTGTCTGTGCGCGTGCCAGGGCCACAGGCCTTGCTCCACTGGCTGTTGCTGCAGCTGTTGCTGCCCGGGCTAGATCCTGCAGCCTCCAATCCAAATCCCTTCTCACCGAGGCTTGAGCCGGCTCAAAAGCCAACTGTCGAGTCTGCCCCTGAGGTGCCTCAACAGTCGTGGCTGCAGCTGTTGCTGCCCGGGCCAGATCCTGCAGCCTCGAATCCAAATCCCTTCCTACTGAAGCCCTTGCTAACGGTTCGTGTGCTGCTGCTGTTGCTGCTGCTGCTGCTTCTGCTGCTGTCGCTGTGTGTGTTGCTGCTTGTGCTGTTACTGCTGTTCCTGCAACTGTTACTGCTGTCGGACCTGCTTGTGCTGCTGCTGACCCAGCCGCGGTTGCTGCAGCTGACGCCACTCTAGCCAGATCCCTCAGTTTAGCATCAACATCTCGCTCTGATGTGGTCCGCATAACTGGCAACTGCGATGCTCTTGCTTCTGCTGTTGCCGCTTGTGCCAGGTCTGCAGTTCCTCCTCCCACTGCTGCAACAGCTGCAGAAGCACCACCAGCTGCTGCTGCTGTCGGTGCTGCTGGTGCTGCTGCAGGCCCAGCCGCGGTTGCTGCAACTGATGCCAATCTAGCCAGATCTCTCAGTTTAGCATCAACGCCTCGCCCTGATGTGGCACACACTAGTGGTGCTTCTGCTGTAGCCGGTCTTCTCATGGTTGCTTCTGCTGTTGCTGCTCGTGCCATTCCTGCTTTTCCTGCTACCACTGCTGCAACAGCTACAGACTTGGCACCACCTGCTTCTGTCGGTGCTGCTGGTGCGGCAGCTGACGCCACTCTAGCCAGATCCCTCAGTTTAGCCCCAAGGTCTTGCCCTGATGTGGCCCGCAATAATGGTGAGTGCACTGCTGCTGCTGCTGCTTCTGCTGCTCCGGCTGTAGCCGGTCGTTCCCTGGCTGCTTCTGCTGTGGCTGCTCCTGCTGTTGCTGATGTTCCTGCAATCACACTGGCGGCAACAGAAGCAGAAGCTACTGCTGCTGTCGGTGCTGCTGGTGCTGCTGGTGCGGCAGCTGATGCCACTCTAGCCAGATCCCTCAGCTTTGAGTTTAGGTCTTGCCCTGATGTGGCACGCATTAGCAGTGGCTGTGCTGGTGCTGCTGGTGCTGCAGCAGCCGCCACTCTAGCCAGATCTCTCAGCTTAGCATCAACGTCTCCTCCTGATGTGGCCCGCAATAATGGTGAGTGTACTGCTGCTGCCGTTCCGGCTGTAGCCGGTCGCTTCCTGGCTGCTTCTGCTGCTGCTCCGCCTGCTGTAGCCGGTCTTGTCACTGCTGCTTCTGCAGGAGCAGCAGCACCACCACCATCAGCAGCAGCGCCAGCAGTTGCAGCAGCAACAGCAGCAGCAGCAGTGACAAGACCTTGCGCCTGGAGCCCCATCAGGTGCTTCTGCAGGTTATCAATCCGGCTATTTTGACCCCCCATCTCAGGGGCCTTCTCAGGTGTCCACAGGTTAAACGACATGCTACTGCATTTTGGCGAAGCCCTGGGCGAAACACTGGGCGAATACCTGGGAGAACACCTGACGTTATCTTTCCCCCTTTCCTCCTTTGCTGCTTTTGTGGCAATACCCAAGCAAAGCGAAATCTCATTCACTTGTAAGGCGTGTTCGGTGTTGGTTCCCGCATCATCACCATCATCAGCACCATGACCAAAACCACCAGAAATACCAGCAACACCATCATTACTATTAAAGCCCTTGCAATCCCAAGAAGCCACGCCAGGTGCTGCTGGGCTGCGCCTGGGGGAGGCGTTACCTGCTGGGCTGCGCCTGGGGGAGGCGTTACCTGCTGGGCTGCGCCTGGGGGAGGCGTTACCTGCTGGGCTGCGTCTGAGGGAGGCGTTATCTGGGCTGCATCTGGGGGAGGCGTTACCTGGCTGCGGGGCTTTACCTGATAAATAGGCAGTCGCTCTGGGGATACGCCCTGTTCCTCCTGCCCCAGAGGGAGGAACATCCGGGGAAGGTGTAACTGAAGGGGTACTTTGACTGCTGCTGCTGCCGCTGCTGCTGCTGCTGCCGCTGCTGCTGCTGTTGCCACTGCTGTGGGTGTTGCTGCTATGACTGCTGCTGCTGCTGCTGCTGCTGCTGTTGCTGTGACCCCTGCTGCTGCCACTGCTGCTGCTAACCCCACTGAACGTGGCACTGAAACAACCATCATCTAGCGAGCTTTGAAAATCAAACTCCTCCTGCCCTTCTCCGCTCACCTCTGTTCCCTGCCCCTCCTGCCCCTCCTGCCCCTCCTGCCCCTCTTGCACCGCCCGCCCTGACACCATCCCCAGCGCCAGCCGCAGTGCTGCTCCTGGTTGTGTGTTCCGTGCCCCCTGCCTCTGCTTTTCCACTGCACCCAATTTCTGCCGCTCTGCACCCAACTCAACCCCTGCTCCCATCCTCCCCTGCACCTCCTGCCCCGCCTTTTCCCCCATCCTTTCTCCGTCCCTTGTTTCCGAACTGATTTCCGAACCTGAACCCAGACCTGATCCCCCTGTTTCCAAGCGGTCGACTAGGTTGGTTCCCAAGCCTGAGAGCCAACTTTGCTCGCGCATCTGCTGCTTCTGAGCAAGCCCCTTCTTCCTAAGTTGCTTAAAGTGGTCTGAGAATCCCGTCACCGCACGCTCTACATCCCCCTCCCCCTTCTGCGCCTCCCCGTCCCTCCCCTGCGTGCCCCCCTCTCCCTGACGGACAGCCACCAAACGATTCTCAGCCAGAGCCATAAGAGAAGGCAAAACAGGATTCTTAAACCCACTTTGGCTCAGCGGAGCACCGTTGGAGTCACCGTTGAGGTTCAAGCGGGGCACTGACCCAGGCGAGCGAAGCAGGGGAGGAGGTGAGCTTTGGCTGACACCAAGGTCAAGGGTCATACGAGGCGCTGACCCTGGGGAACGCAGCAGAGGGTTGTTCTGAGCCTGCGGGGCTTCTGGAAAGGAGGAGGGGAGTTCCAAGGGAGCACGTGAGCTTTGGCTGACGTCAAGGTCAAGGGTCACACGAGGTGCGGACCCTGGGGAACGCAGCAGTGGGTTGTCTCCAGCGGGAGGGGCTTCTGGAAAGGAGGAGAGGAGATCAAAGGGTCGGATCCTGGGAGAGGAACGGATGGGTGGACGGGTTGGTGGGTTCTCTGGCTGCTGCTGCTGCTGCTGCTGCGCCTGTCGCTTCCTTCTCCTCCTCCGTCCTCCCGCTTCTCCTCCTGCCCCTCCCCTTCCTGCTTCTCCTCTAACTCCCCCTCCTCCCGTTTTCGCCCCGGTTTCTCCTGTCCTTCCTGCCAAAGACTGAACGAGTACCCATTTCCAGATGCACCCGGGCCTTTGGGTCCATCCAGAATCCCCTCAGCCTTCCGC